TTCAACAATGATTGAGCTCACAACAAATCTTTTGTTCCTTTCTAGCCGCCCCTCCCTACACTGTCACATGCTTGAGAGTTGATTATTTGGTAACCTCATGGATAGCATTAGCCAAGTAGCCAACATTTCCTGTAGTAACTCCAGCCATACTGAATACAACCAACCAAACTATTGTCATGGGAAGATCTTAGAAACACAACCATAACAGTTCATTTCTGTCTTGTCTTATCTTTCTTATATCATAATAAACACCACAAAATTCAACATACCTAATACGACCATTACGCGTCATGTAGATATGGAACTCTTTTGTCAAGCGATCTACTTGCTCGGGTGTCATTCCGCTATAGCAGAACATGCCAATCTGTAGATAATACGCATGATTTTAATTTTTAAGCTGCTACAAAAGTTTTTCACCAAGCAGGTAGCAGATGCAAATATCAAGTAATAAAAAGCAAATGCTAAAAAAGTAAAACACCTGATTGGTTATATGCTCCCATGATAAAGAAGAGCCCAGCTTTTCAAGGCTTTCCCTTAGTGCAGTCCTCATCCCTATAATGCGATCTGCCATGCCCTGTAAAAAGATAAAATCATATTGAAAAATAGTAAACTCTAGTGTACATAGCAGGTGCTAATGATAATAGTACACAAATTTGTTGCGATAAAATGGCCTCTAGGACTTCATACTGTCACAATATTTTTCATGGGATCTTACCTTTACTTCCCCAAGCCACAATTTCTTCAATTCTGGATCACCTAGGATGGTAGAAACTACGAGGGCACCATGGACTGGTGGATTGCTGTACATTGGCCTTGCAAGCTGCTGCAACTGACTTTTAACAGCTACAGCTTGTTTGTCATCATCACAGACCACACTGCAACAGGAAAAGGAAACCAAACACACACACACACACACACATGAGAGACCTTTTTGCAAGCTCACTAATGCACTGCAATAAAAATTTTAAGAGAAAATTCTTCTGAGGTTTGTATTATTTCCAACCCATCTTTCAAGGTAATCAGCCCATTGAACAAAAACCCAGATTAAAAATCAATGCAAAGTGAAGACAACCACAGAGAATTATTTCCACGCAGAAGTATTTTCCCCACATTTCTGTTATTACTTTAGTTAAATATCTCTTGGGATAGGAACAAAAAGTGAATTTTTTGAAAAGCATGCAATTGGTTATTTTGTTTTGCAGACTATAAATTTCAAAGAAGTCTAGTTCAAAATGCCAAAAAAAAAAAAAAAAAAAAAAAAAAAAAAAAAAAAAAATCATCACCTCAGACACCCAACTCTCTGGCCATACAGTCCCATATTTTTGGCATATGACTGGGCACATCCAACTTGATGACCATCCTCAATGAATATCTGGATAGCTTTGGCATCCTTCTCTGTGTTTCCACTGGCAAATCCTTGATATGCCATATCAAAGAAGGCAAAATGTCCCTTGACCTGAAAAAAAAAAAAAAAAAGAATGTTGTTTGTATCCAAGAGGAAAAACATTAGTTACTGTGGGCTTATGAGACAAATAGTACTTAACAAACAATTACCTTGAGCTGGTGAGAGATCTCCTTCCATTGTTCCTCTGTCGGGTCTACTCCAGTAGGATTATGGGCACAAGCATGAAGTAAAAAGAATGACCCGTTTGGTGCATTCTATGACACCAAGGAAATCCATAAAATTATATTCAGTACAGGCATAGGAAAAACAAGTCTGTCCATGTAAAAAGGGAGAGAGATCACACAAAACCACTAAACCAGCTCAATGGAATCCAATGTACCAAGTTTACCTTTATATCATCCATCATGCCAGTGAAGTCCAATCCTTTTGACTCTGGATGGTAATAACGGTATGTCTTTTGAGTGACATTGGCATCTCTCCAAATGTTATGATGACTGCAAAAGATCAAATTAGGAGAATTCAAACTTGACAGGAAACAAAATTTAAGTAATTTACAGACTTGTATTTCCATAAAATTAGATTCCACTATTTTCAAGAAATAAGAAATAATTATGAACACAAAGAATTACAAGCTACAGAAGAAGGCTAATACAGTACTCCATATTAGTGTAAACTCACTTTGACCAAGTAGGAACAGGAATAAAAATTTGTGAATCAGGACAAAAGCGCTTTTGGAAGTCTGCAAAAATTCGGCATGCACCCGTCCCAGATAGAGATTGGATGGCTCCAATCCGCTTGTCTTTTATCAAGTCAGAATTTTCCCCATAGGCCAACTTCAGAGATTCCTCAATCATGTTAACGCTTCCTCCCATTGGAAGATATTCCCTAACAAAGCAGTAACAGTTGAAGAATTCAGTCATTCAGATATGGTTGTTGCAGATCTGTTTTGCTTAGTTACACAAAGGAAAGTGTGATCATAGATTGGGATCAAGGGGAGTATAAACTTGGTAGTGGAAATACATTTTTATGCAGACAGAAAATCAAGGCCTGCACATTGACTGCTTCAGAGTCAGGGATCAAAGACTATATCCAAATTGCACATGCAGTGTTCATTTACTAACACATTAAAAACGAAGGGTCTATAATGTAGTTTGCCTTAGGAGGGCATTGAGGTAACTAGTGTCTTTGTATTTTGAAGTGTTCTCTTTCTTCTTTTTTGACAGAAAATTCATTTTAGAACTCAAATTCTTGGTGAAATTGGCAAGAGTACCAAACTGGAGCCAAATATTAAAGAACTTTATGCCCACTAGCCATAAGTGTGAAGATCTAAGAATTCCAAATTTCATTGGGGAATGTGACCATGGAAAGAAAAGAATCAAAATGGATAGCAGAATTTCAGTAGGATAAGAAGATTGGAAAAATCACAGGGACCACCTATAGTGCTGCACAATTAATATAAAGTAGAATCCATAAATGACACAGAACACTCAACCACAAAAGGCAACAACTACAAAGGGCAGCATTAATTTCGATGTAAACAGTAAGGATGGTAACATTAACAGTAAAAATGCATTTTGGTAGTTCATATTAGCGTATGCTCCGTAGTTGCATATACCATTTCAATTGTCTCTCAATTTCCTCCGGCTTCTAATACCAAACAGCACTATTTGTTTTAAGGGTTAAACAAAGCAAGCTGCCTCTCAATTTCTACTGCTTTTTAGCACCAAACAGTATTTTTAAGGTCTGAAAAACATGCAGATTATGAAGGATTTGAACTCACATGTTAAAACCACCCGCAATTCTCCGCTCTGCTTCCCGGACACACTCGAGCACCACCGGCTTTCCATTATCGTCACGGTAAGCTCCCTTCAAGTTCATATAAAGAAAGTTAAGCTACTGAACACATCCAAAAACAAATTCTGAAATTCAGTTAAATCTAGCATTTTTCATCGCAAAAATAATTGATCAGTGGGGAGAACACGCAGAAAAAAACATTTATCTTATGCAGTAAATTTTCCGCAATACCAAAATGTGATTGAGCGTAGTTTCTATGTGTTATAAAGAAAAAGTTTAAAAATAAGAAGCACGAAAGTCGCGCATTTGAAAGGGACACTTACAACTCCGACATTGACTTTGTCGGGGCTAGGATCTGCGAGGAAAGCTTCAGTGACGCCAAGGATCGGATCTTTCGGAGCGGGCTCGACACTTCGCCACCATGACGACATGGATCGCGCTCCGACAACCGTGCTGGACTTGAGGATCCTACCGGAAATTGCAGCTCGGAAAAGCGCCATGACTAGACACAGAGAGATATGCGGGTATAGAGATGATCGGAGCGAGAAAGAAACGGCGGAGACGTCTGAATATCAACTGTTCTATATATATATATATATAGAGAGAGAGAGAGAGAGAGAGAGAGAGAGAGAGAATGAGAATGCGGAGAGATGAAGCCAACTGCCAGCCGTCAAAATGTGAATGAGGAGAGCCTTCCTCGAGAAGCGTAACAATGTTGTAAACTGCCATAAAGGAAACGTTGGGCGTTGGCTATATCCATTTACTGATTTGGACACCAGTTTCTGATTTCTCTTCGTTAAAATGTTGTTTTGACCGAAACGGATAGGGACAAAATGGTCAGCGCAGAGTTGAGTTTGGAATTTTATACAATACGGATCACGTACTCACGTAGTACATTTCTCATTTTTTTTCCCATTTAAGGGTCGTTGTCCAAGTCAAATTTTTTTCTTGGAATAAGGTCCAAATTGGCTCCTGAACGAAACGTGAAAGTGCAATTTGGTCCTGAACGTAAAAGAAGTGTAATTATCTCCCTCAACATTTCAAATATGTGCAATTTGACCTGATAGCAGGTTAATATTCCATCTAACCGGTTATATGATAATACCGGTTATATGATAATGTGTATGCTGACTTGGCATTTTTTTTAATTTCCTTTTATTCCATTCACCGTGTATTAAGACAAAGCTTCAATAGAAATTCCCAAACCACGCATCAAAATTCCCAAACCTGCATCAGAAATTCTCAAACCACGCCCGTGAAAGCTAGTACTATGTAAAATTGAATATTTTTTCATGAAATTTATCCTGCTTGTAAATTTGAGAGAAGATATCGATGGTGGAATATTACAACTGCTAGAGTTAGTTGTTTTGTAAAGAAGAAGACAAAAGATGGAAATAAAAAAAAAATGCCAAGTCATCTTTCCAAAAAAAAATGTCAAGTCATCATCCAGTCACACATGTAACCTGCTAGATGGGATGTTAACCTGCTAGATGGTCAAATTGCACATATTTGAGGTGTTGAGGAGGGTAATTGCACTTTTTTTTACGTTCAGGGACCTAATTGCACTTTCACGTTTCGTTCAGGGATCAATTTGGACCTTATTCATTTTTTCTTTTTATAACCCTAACTTTAGATCTAACCGAATTATTATATCGTAAACACTATAAATTCAATTCAAAATCCATAAAAAGATAAATCGAATTAATCTACCTTTCAATTTTTATATACACAAAAAACTCAATTTAAATTCAAACCCCAATATTTATGACAGGAATAAAATCTCCCTCACTGGATGCAAGTCTTAAGTGAAATTTTTCAATTAATTGACTCCTTTTTTGGGATAGCATACAATGTATTACAATTACAATCTGATGAATATATTTATTTCACAATAACACGACAATGAATTTGTTTATAATAATCCACAAGCTTTGAATATGTACCCTTGTGAATTGTGATAGCTTGAAGCTTGCTGAATTTCTGCCCATATTAAATCATCATCTGATGATCTTTCTGCAAGGATTCCACTCTGATTAAGGTCACCAGACTGCACTGCAGCAGTAGTAGCTGATGAGGAAAGCATATTAACAGATGCAGGTAACTCATTCTGATGATGTGGGAAACAAGGATTCAAGATGGTGACCCAAAAAGGCATTGATCTTGAACATGACACAGAGGCTCCATTGATTCAATTAATAGTTCTGTTAACTGCTGTTAATACCGGGAATTTGAACCTTGAGGCCATGAATTCCACTATGACTTTGAGATATTTGAAAAGTTGCACATCTCTAGTTCTAAACCCACCATACACAGAATATGAGCACCGAACCTGAGTATAAATGGTGCTCCTCCAGTGTCAGGCATATGGACCATTTGAATCCTGTGCCTGCTTTGCAGTTTCTAGCTAATCCCAGAAGCTGCATTCCCAAGCTTGTGCATACAAGTATACAAAAGATCAGGGGTACATCACAGCATTTTCATTCACCTCATCACTGCATGAATACCAGTTGATAATGAAGAGGCCTGCTGACGAAGACTGTCAAAGGCTGTGTTAAATTCTCATGGCACATAACTTGTATGCAATCATGAGTAAAAGATTTAAAGATTAACAGCAAATAATATAAAGGAAACAAATAAAAAGCAAATCACCAATGATCATATTTTGCTTCTGAAAACAAATGAAGTGAAAATTGAAGGCATTCTGAGAGTTGTTCAGGGAAAGTTGGATTAAAGCAATGATCTTTATCAGTTTCAGAAGTCATGGTAAACTAGACAACAGGATACTCAGAGATCTAGCCCTTTGAGCAACACACACACACACTCAAGCACATAATTACAGTAGACTGTTTTATGGTGAGAAAGAATAGGATTTGGGTGGGTATTGGATTTGTCAAGGTGACAACCCAACTTCAAAGCTCAATTACAAATTTACAATGACAAATTTCTCAAATCAGGAGGGCTAAATTGTTTAGATAATTTTTTTCTTTTCATTTTCTTTTTTTCCTTGTCTGAGGCAGGGAGGAGGGGGGGGGGGGGGTGTTATTTGCATTTTGCAATATTCAAAACCCACAAGAGAGCAAATTGCAATATATCCTTTCAATTCTACAAGTTGTAAAGTGGCTAAGAAAACCACTAACATGTAAGTATGCAATGGGATTTCTATTAGGAGTCTCAAACTATGACTGACCAACCTGTATAAGAAAGCCAGAATTGCCATTTTCCATGCAATCAATCTTGAGTAGACTTTGGCAAAATGATCAGCAAGGTATAGCTCTTACAATTTGCAAAGAAACCCTACAATTACATGGAGAACTGATAGTCAACACAACTGAGCCTTTACTCTTACAATTAGCATAAAGAACTCGTTGGACATCACGGGGATCCTTTATTTAGGAATCCAAGACCAGTTTCATTGCATCATAACAAATGGTTTTAGGAGAGCCAATTAACTATATTTCTAAGACACTTCATTTAATCATCAAAAATACCATTAATACAGATTATTCAATTTCATATTTTTAATTCTAAATACAGTATTTTGTGAAAGCAACCAATGTACTATACTTCTTGGTTAAGGACAGGTATTCCTAGAACAACCGAAGACAAAGGAAACTATTGCTTTGGGACTGAGAGAGTACTTAAGGACCAAATGATGACTGACTGATTGTTGAACGCACCAACCTAACCTGTTTACCATAAGAAAACATACCTTACAAAGATCAAGAAATCTTCACAGTCCACATAATCCTAGTCTTCTTGATGCTAGATCAACATTTTCATCATTCTTGCCTTCTGAATATGTAAAACGTCAGTGTCACTAAAAGACTCAAAGTGATTATTATCTTGAGAAAGTAGTAAAGTGGTAAACAAGTCATCTCATCCATGACAGTGTTCAATTGTTACCCTTTAACCAGAGGATAGAATAAAAAGTTGTATCATTATCTGCATTCTAGTACTTCTTGCTCTAATAGAAACAGAAAGTAAAGTAATAATAGATCACCTGTAGCACACTATCTTCTTTTGATAGGTCATCGTTAGTTCAATATCTTGGACAACTTTAGTTCAGAATGGAGCTTCCTTGCTTCCTGAATAAACCCAGAATGCTGAAGACCATCAATAACCGCTTGTCTATCTGATTTTAGAATCTTCATGCCACCGATAATACATGAAAGCAATAGCTCGGACGCTACACGAAACCTCCCAGCCTTGCAAAGACCATGCACCAATGATGAATAGGTAAAACAATCTTTCTCATCCATTGATTTAAACACACTCAATGCATAATCAACCTCACCAACTTTGCACAAGCCGTCAATACAGCAGTTGAAAGCAACCAAATTTGAATCAAAACCCATCAGTTTTGTGCAGTTCAAATGACGAAGTGCCTCTTTCATATTTCCAGCCTTGCACAACCCATCTATTATAATGGTATGCGTGTATTTGTCACAGTCAAATCCTTTTCTTTCTGCCTCAACCACCAACATATAGGCATTATCCAGCTTGCCTTCCTTACAATACAAATTAATAAGGGTGTTGTAAGCCACTAAATCAAGCTCAATGCCATTCATGATCATATTCCCTACACAATCATATGCATCCTTCATCCTGCCTGCCTTAATTAAAAAGCTAATGACTGTACAGTAAGCAAATGAATCAAATATATATCCTTTCCTTCTCATCTCTTCCAAGATCTGAAGCCCTTCTTCAAACCGTCTTGACCTAAAGCAACATTTCATTATTGTAGTATAAGTGATGGCATTTGGATTATAGCCTATATCTACTAGTTCGTTGAGAAGCCTTCTTGCAGGTGCCCATCGTCCTGAATTGCAAAGTCCATGAATAAGGATATTGTATGTTACTAACTGTGGAATGAATCCAGAATGCTTTAATTCCCTAAATAGCATAAGAGCCTTCTCTGTATACCCATTCATGCAAAGACCACTCAATAGAATATTAAATGTAACTGGACAAGGGGGGATATCTCCCCAAAAAATGTCCTGAAAAAACCTGTATGCTTCATCTGGTTTTCCCAATCTAAACAAACAATGCATCAATGTATTGTAACTCCAGGTATCAGGAAGAATACCAACCTCAAGCATTTCTTCCAACAGATCAAGGCATCTAGATAACATGCCATGCCTGGTAGCACTGGCTATCAGAGAGTTATAGGTAATAACATCTGGCTTAATCCCAACTTCGTTCATTCTATGAAGAATGGAATAACCTGCATCAATGCCTACAAAACAACAGTATGCTGTAATCAGCGTATTGTAAGTCACCACATCTGCTGGCACTCCTACTCTTATACCATCAATTATCACTGTCTCCGCTTTCTCCAGTTGTTTGGCTTTACAAAGACATGCTACAGTTATGTTCAATAGCTTAGTCGATAACCTACTTTTAATTCTGAACATCTATTCCAAATGTTAGTCGCCCAATCTGTAACCAAAATCAATTGGAAAACTAATCAAAATCCAAAATGTCGTTCTTCAATCAAAGCCCTAACTAAGCAATGGAGAGGTAGTGGGGGCGCCTGACCGCAACATCGGGCAGGTCCTCGTTGCTAGCTGCAAAGCGCTGGCGGCTAGTGGGAGTCGAGGCGATGACTGCGACCGTCGTAGATAACATACGAACATATCCGCCGGTGACGGCTGGCCGGCTGGCGAATTGAGGAGGTTGATATGGGAAAGAAGTCGCCGGCTCTTCTCCGGTGCTAGTGAAAGCCGACGGCGACTACGACGTTGGCTTTAGATGGTTGCAGTGACCGGAAATGATGAGGTAGGCGAACAAGATTGGCAATCGGAAGCAAGAAGTGAGACAGTGAGATTTACCTCCGGCAAAATATTTATTCCCAATTTTCTAACTGCGGAAAAAAAAAATTAAAAAGAAGAGAAAATAGTTGTTTTTTTTTTAGAAAATTTCACTTTTAGGGTTCGTTTGAAAAGTAGAAAAATGACTTTTGAAAAATGTTTTTTGGAAAATAAGTTATTTTTTAAAAAAACATTTTCATTTCCAGTGTTTGGTTGCATTCTATAAAACTATTTTTGTGTGTTTGGTTCATTTTCTGGAAAATGAGTAAAATTGTATAATTAAACATTTTAATTATTTTATTTAGAATATTACAAATGTATAATAATATAATAATAATTTTAAATATAATAAAAATAACTAATAATATATCAAAAATATTATGGTGGTGGTGGTGGTGTAGTGGTGTTGGTGTTATTTGTTATATAATAATAATAATAATAATAATAATAACTGGTGGTGGTATGACGGTGGTGGCAATGGTGGTGGTGGTGGCGGCGGTGGTTGCGGTGGTATGGTCGTGGTGGTGGTGGTGTGATGGTGGTGGTTGCGGTGGTATGGTGGTGGTGGCGGCGGCAACGGTGGTTGCGGTGGTATGGTGGTGGTGGTGGCGGGGGCGGTGGTGGCGTGGTGGCAGTGGTATGGTGGTGGTGGTGGCGGTGACGATGGATGCGGTGGTATGGTGGTGGTGGTATGGTGTTGGTGGTAGTAGTGGTTGCGGTGGTATGGTGTTGGTGGTGGTGTGATGGTGGTGGTGGTGGTTGCGGTGGTATGGTGGCGGCGGCGGCGGTGGTATGGTGGTGGCGGCAGTGGCGGTGGTGGTGATGGCGGCGACGGTGGTTGCGGTGGTATGGTGGTGGCGGCGGCGGTGGTGGTGTGGTGGCGACAACGATGGTTACGATGGTATGGTGTTGGTGGTGGTAGTGGTTGCGGTGGTATGGTGTTGGTGGTGGTGTGGTGGCGACGACGATGGTATGGTGGTGGTGGTGGTGGTGGTATGGTGTTAGTGGTGGTAGTGGTTGCGGTGGTATGGTGTTGGTGGCGGTGGTTGCGGTGGTATAGTGGTGGTGGTGGCGGCAGTAGTGGTGGTGATGGTGGTGGTGTGATGTTGGTGTAAAAGTTGGAAAATGACTTCCTCCAAAAAAAAAAATGGGAAGTCATTTTCCTCCAAAACAAGCCTATTTTTCAAAGTCAACAGAAAATTATTTCTGTTGACTTGATTTTCAAAGCACATCCAAACAATGAAAACTTGGAAAATGATTTCCAGAACTCATTTTCCATGTTTCCAAACACACCCTTAATAATGAATCACATTTAGGGGATGTTTGGTTCAAAGGAAAACATTTTCTTAAAGTGGAGGAACATGTTATTTTCTAGTGTTTGGTTCATGGAATTCATTTTCCATTGGAAAGTGAATTCCTCAAATTTGAGGAAAACAAAATCCTTGGTTGGACCAAGGATTTTGTTTTCCATGGAAGATGAAAAGAAAAAGTGTTATGAATTGCCTATTTTACCCTTGTTTTCTTTTTAAATTATATTACTCTTATTAATTTGTATGGGCATATAGGTAATTTTTATACTCTTTATTAATTACAATTCTAAATCTAACCAAACAATAGAATTAGTATTCTCAGTAATTCTTTTTCAACTAACCAAACAATGAAATTCATCTTCCTAGTAATTGTTTTTTCATGAAATTTCAATTCCATTTCCATTAAAATATTTTTCGCGAACCAAACGAGCTATCACTCTCTGGCACAGGAGGAATTGTCATGGCTTGTGAGAATTGAACCCGAGTTATCCTATGAGCCAATTATTAGGTGGAATTCTTGCGAGAATTGAACTCGAGTTATCCCAAAATTAGAATTGAACCCGAGTTATATCAAAATTTTTTCCACAAAGAAAATTTATTTGCCACTTAAACTACCACCCTAGTTTTTTTCCCTTAGTTTCTTTAACAAAATAAAAGAAACAAAATGGCAAATTAATTATGTGGGTTTTGCACATTATGAACATTGAATAGTGAATAAACAAACAAGTGCATCTCGAAGCTAAAAGAGCATTGCATTTGCTTCTTTCAGAATGAACACTTTTGGAATAAGCAAATGCAGTGCAAACTCTGTTTACAATAATGCAAGTTGGTCACTACAACATAGTTCAAACTCTATTTACATTTCAACTAAATTATATCTTAATTTAAAGATAAAAATATTATATTGAGGTGATTATAATGCAACACAATGGCCAATACTGCTCGTAGATACTAAAAAGGGAAAATATAATGCAAAAGCACACTACAATACAAACTACATTCACCATATTGACCATATATATACGCAGTTTACATATACATACATCAAGACAACAAAACTAGGTTAAAATTCACTTAATGGATTGAGACCTTTGCGAACTATATTTCATGTTCACAGTGAGTATGTCATAGAAACTATTTGTGATTATCTTGTTATGTAGCGATTGAAGTTTCGTTGGGATTGTTTTTAGGTTAATGCAAAGAAACATAAGAAATGGGGAGGATGAAGGAAATAAAAGAGGAAAAAACTGCATAGAATGACCAAAATACATTTTAAATTACAACACATTGTTTTTCTCGTTGAAATTCTAGCAATAGTTGGTTGTGAAATTAGACGGCAAGATAAAAAAAGTGCGTTACAAATTACATATTCATGCACCTAATTAGGAAATATTAATAGGCAATGACTAAATGTGATTCATGTATAATAGTCAAGTTACCAAACGTGAAATTTTATTTATTTATTTATTATTATATTATTATTATTATTATTATTATTATTATTATTATTGTTTTTGTTGTTGTTGTTGTTGTTGTTGTTATCTATCAACTACGTAGTATAATATTTCTTCCAAATTAAGTTATTGAATATCAACATTCTTAATTTTGGTGCATAATTATTAAATTTCTTTCGTATTTTAGTTTATCGTTCAATATGTTAGCTAATTGAAGCGAAAAGTCCGTATTAAAAATAAAAATAGAGCAAATCAAGTAGAAAAGTTAGTAGCAAAAGTAAAAAAAAAAAGTATCAAAAAATTATTGTTGTTGTTGGTGTTGTGTGTGTGTGTGTTTTTTTTTTTTTTTTTTTTTTAAGTTGACAAAAAAATTGAGCGAGAGATTAATTGTGAAAAAAATTAAATAGTCATGCACCAAAATTAAAAATTTAATAGTCAAATACCTTATTTACCAGGACTATGTGGTCTAATGGTATCCGGGTTGGACTTTCATTTGGAAGGTTGTGAGTTCAAGCCTCAGTGGAGGCGTTATTGACTTTTTGTGTTTCAATAGGTTGAGAAAGTATATGAACAGATACTACAATGTAATATAGCTAGTAACATTCAAAAAAAAAAAATACTCTGTAATTTTTTTTTTTTTTTGATAAAGAAATATTACAATTTAGTTACCAAAAGTAAAAAAAAAAAAATAAAATAAAAAATAAATAAAAAAAAAACTCAGAGAAAAATATAAAAATGAAGCTAAACTGCTAAAGGGCAAAGTGGACTAACTAAGCCCAATCTTCATTCTACAAATAAAAGCAAAACCCTAGCCCCATTTCTGTGGTTACATATTAGGATTTCTTCCTCCGCTCAACACTGCATCTTTCCCCGGAGCCGGTCTGCAGCCGCAACCTCAGCAGTGAAGCGATATGGTCGTCATTCTATCTCCTGATGTTTTCTTTTTCTTCGTAATCAATGCAGGAGTATGCATATTAGTTCGTTTCATTGCACTATCACTAATGCATCTCAGTATCTTCATTGTATGAATGATGAAAGCAGGCGTCAGAGAAGAAACTGAACAACCCAATGAGGGAAATCAAGGTTCAGAAGCTCGTCCTCAACATCTCCGTCGGTGAGAGCGGAGATCGTTTGACCAGAGCGGCTAAGGTACGAAAAAGCTGCTCTTTTCCTCAATGCATTTTCATGAAATATTGGTTGCGCACTAAGGTTGCCTACATGAACATTTATGTTCGTGGGCGATTCTAAAATTTAGCTAATTTGCTGCTTCGGATATTTTAGGTGTTGGAGCAACTTAGTGGCCAAACCCCTGTTTTCTCAAAGGGTAAGGGTTTCTTTTCGGTGTTTTTTTTTTTTAGTTTTTCTTCCTGTCTGAGTCTGAATTGTTTGATTCATTCTAATTTGGCGCGAATGTAAACATTCATGTTTATTCAAGATTTATTTTTTTTAAATATTGTGTGCTTTTCCAAATTCCCAGAGGCAGAAGGTATCATTTATGTGCTATGTTGTCATTGATGAATGGTGTGTAGTTAGTGGTGTAGATTTTATGATTTGAGCTATTTTGTATTGGACATTACAGTTTAAGAATAATGGTTTTTGTTTGTCTTGCTAATAACATATTAACATGGCACTCAGGCTAAAAGACAAGAAGTGTTTTCATGGCAAACTAATCTTAAAACAGCTCTTGCCCCCTCTGCATATTTCCTTTTCCCTCATTTTGCTAGTTTTCTACTATTTCTTCAAATGAAATAATTTTATAGTCAAATTCCAGCTAACTCTGGATATATGCTTCTGAGTTCCATTAGATAGTGAACCTAATCTAGTATAGTCAAGAGCTTTGTATAATTCATTCTGATCTTTGGTTGTTTTAGCTTTAATTATATAGTGGTTCAACTAGCTTAGAATCATGTACTTGATCATTTATGTGATTAGATGTGTTTGCTGATATATTATTCCTTCTCCTATTTTCCGCTACTTAACTTATTTGATGCAATTATTCAATCAACAGCAAGGTATACCGTGAGGTCCTTCGGTATCAGGCGTAATGAGAAGATTGCATGCTATGTCACAGTAAGGGGTGACAAGGCAATGCAGCTCCTCGAGAGTGGGTTGAAGGTGAAGGAATATGAATTGCTGCGAAGGAACTTCAGTGACACTGGTTGCTTTGGGTTTGGTATTCAGGAGCACATTGATCTTGGGATTAAGTAAGCATCATGTCTTCGGTGATTTTTCCTGTCTATTTTATACTTTAAATTAGGTATGGTCATTGCTTGTTATATTCTGATGCTTCGCATCCACAGTTTGGATTAGAATTAAATTACATCCCTTGCAGATTGTCAACTTTTTAATGCCCTTGCCACACATCTGAATTTTAATTCTCTGTACACGCCTTGGCTCGTTTGTAACTCTATTTATCTATACATCTTACAGGTATGACCCCTCTACTGGTATTTATGGTATGGATTTCTACGTTGTCCTGGAGCGCCCGGGTTACCGTGTTGCTCGTCGCCGGAGATGCAAAGCCAGAGTTGGTATCCAACACAGGGTCACCAAGGATGATGCCATGAAGTGGTTCCAGGTCAAATATGAAGGGGTTATCCTCAACAAGGCCTCAAACATCTCATAAGTCCAATCTTAGTTTGAGAGAATTTTCAATCAGTTTGTATCTCCTAGCAATTTTGTGTATTTGCCTTATTATAGACCTACATCTTACTCAGAGTTACTGAGTTTTGGGTACCAGGATTTGTTGGTAAGTTTATCAAGGTTATCATGACATCTTTGCTGTCTAATTTGATTGTGTGATTTATACTTGGGATCTAAATGGTTCTGTAGTTCTTCTGTCTAATGTTATATTGCTTTCTATTAAATCCAAATACAAGTATAAACTGAATAGTACTGCATTACATGTCATGTTTTTTATCTTGTATGTGCCAATTTTCATTAAATAATAGTGTTTTTTTTAGTATTACTAACTCTGTTACAACTTACCATGTAATATCTGTTTATAATTACTTTCTCAACCTATTGAAGCACATAGAGTTAATACCGTCTTTATTGGGGGGGGGGGATCAAACTCATGATCTCCTATTTAGAAGAGAGTCACTCCGTGCTACTAGATTACAAGATTATTGAAATATTGTGTTTATTTTAATTTTCCATTTTTATAATTAGTAACGCACACCCTTCTAGTTCTAATGGTAGTTATTGAAATTTGATTAACATTTTGTAAGTTAAATTAATTGGGTATTGTTGGATTTTGTACCTTTGAGATTTGAGAATGTATTCATGGAGAATTTAGGAATAAGTTTCGCGAAGTGAGTAGGAGATAAAGCGTTAGTGTGTGTAACTTGTAACGTGTAAGCAAAAGCAAAACCAAAGTTCCACACGTTCAAACTTCCGTAAAACCCACACTGTCGTGTGTACAATCCTACGCATCTTTCATTGTCAGTCCCTTCCAGATTCTTGCAAAAAACAAATGGTGCTCAGCTTGCCATCTCAGCATTTCCCCTAATTTTCCTCTCCCTAATTTTTTCCCTCCTCATAAACTTAAAACATTATTCTTTCACTCAGAAAATATCACATTTCTTTTCATTTTTCTTAATCCCATTCTCCCTTTTTTCTTGATCAGTCTTTGATTCTTTTGGGGGAGGTGCTGTAGAAGATGGCTCAATTACTCTCCCCAGTTTGCACTGACATCCTCAAATTTCAGAATCCTGTACATAATTTATTTCCAAGAAAAAGATCGCCCATATTGGGTACTAATTGTAACAGTGTGAGCTCCCATGGTGGAAGTGGAAGGAGGAAAGGGTTTGGCAGAATCAGAGTTGCTTACCAGGAATCTGCAGCATCTGAAGAGGTTGCTGATGATTATTATGCTGTTTTAGGCCTGGTAATTAACATTATACCAATTTTCAATTTTTACCTTTTTTTTTTTTTTAAAATAATTCTTTTAGTATATATATATATATATATATATATATATATATATATATATACACACACACATGCATACATATTTTCCATCTAGAAATGTTTGTGTCTTGCAATCCATTGACTTAATACCTCATTGCATGTAGTTGAGCAGTTCTGTTTGCTCAGATCAATGGAGTACTTAATCTTATTTGTTCCCATTATTGCAGTTGATGTTTTTTAGTTTATCCGGTTTGGTAAAATGGCTGTAGCTGTTAGTTGATTGTGTTAATTAGAGGGTATAAATAGTTGATAACATTAGCTTATTGTAGAAAAGTGTTTGGTAAATTAGCTGTTAGCTGATTGTGTTAATTAGAGGGTATAAATAGTTGATAACATTAGCTTATTGTAAAAAAGTGTTTGGTAAATTAGCTGTTAGCTGATTGTGTTAATTAGATGGTATAAATAGTTGATAACATTAGCTTATTGTAGAAAAATGTTTGGTAAATTAGCTGTTAGCTGATAGCTGTTTGGTATAATTTCTTTTCTCAAAAAGCTAATTGAAAATGTTGTTTGGAGTAGCTTTTTGAATTTTAGCCTTTTGGAGTTGCAAAAAGCTAATTAATCAAATATTTATATTAATATTTTAACTAAATCAAACAATTAATAGTGGTCAAATAAGCTAAAATTGGCCTTACCAAACAGGGTCACTGCAATTTTTTGCTCGAGTATTTTTGGGTTACGAGGGAAACCGTAGCCACTACCCGAGTGTGTGTCAGGGTAAACGCCACTTGTGATCCTAGCCGACAAAGAACTAAGAAGGTAAATCAGTCTAGCTAGTATAGTGACAGTGTGTACCGAGTAAACTCCGCTTGTGATCCTAGCAAGAAAAGTGCCATAAGGAGGTAAACCAGTCCAGGTTATTCATAGTTGACTGGCTCAAACGAAGAAGGCAAATAGGTCGCTCTTGCTAGGAGTCGAACTTGTAATCTTGTGGTTACTAAGTTAACATAGCAATTTTTGTTATTGTTAGGCAAGAAGTTTTGAGTTTGACATTGATCTCAGAATCTAACAGGAAGATGATCCAATTGTGCTTTTTGTTGTGAAGTGGGAATTGGGAAAACCCAGTTAGTGACTGATAAACTGGTTGCAAAAGAAAGTTTAAAACTTGAAACATTAGGAGCTATACTAACAGACCATGAAAGCAAATTGACTAAGCTTGGATATGTTACATTCTTGGCAGTTTCAGAAAAAAAAAAGTTTTTTTTTTGATCACTTGTGATGTTTCTTTGCCATGTTGTCAGCTTCCAGATGCTTCACCTGAGCAAATTAAGAAAGCCTACTATAATTGCATGAAAGCTTGCCATCCAGACTTGAGTGGAGATGATGAAGAGACCACAAACTTTTGCATGTTTATCAATGAGATTTATGAGGTGATGGCCCCAAATATCCCTGCACGTATACTACTCGGTTTTCTTGTTGTTTCTCATTTCACAACTGATTATTATACCAATTCAGATTCTCAGTGATCCTGTACAGCGGTTAGTATATGACGAGATTCATGGGTATGCTGCAACAGCAATTAATCCTTTCTTCGATGATTCCTCCCCAAAAGATCATGTTTTCGTTGATGAATTTAGCTGCATAGGTACAAGAGCTTAGCCTCATAGTTATGCTGATATTTCTACTTATTATATTATAATAATGGGAAAATGGTCAAATTGGCTCTTGAACTTTACACAATAATTAGGTCCCTGTCTAATTAAATTGGCTCTCGAATCATCCTTATGTAAATTCTCCCGCAGGTTGCAAAAATTGTGCCAATGTTTGCCCAAAGGTGTTTGATATCGAGGAAGATTTCGGAAGAGCTAGAGTTTATAGTCAGTCTGGGAGCGGTGAACTAATCCAACAAGCTATAGAAAGTTGGTAAGTTCTTATGTAGTTTCTTTGCTTTCACATATAGGGGGTTCTATATCAGCGGGCCATAGATAGTTGATACGGGATGAACACGAACACCAAGTTCAGTTGTGATATAACTATTTCTTTTCATTTCAGCCCGGTCGATTGTATCCACTGGACTTCTGCTGCACAACTATCGCTGCTTGAAGATGAAATGCGAAGAGTAGAAAGAGTAAACGTATGCTATATTCTCTGATAGAGATGATTCGAACCCATGATCTTTGGTCTGGCTCTGATACCAAATTGAAGCATGTGCTCCATCTCAACTAAAAGCCTAAGCTTATAGTTGGATTGCACATTAATCGCTACTCAACACAAACAACTTTGTCTGAACTGCGCACTAACATATCATTTACACCATTTTCCCAATTGTCAACAGGTAGCCTTAATGCTCTCGGGAATGGGCGCTGCATCAATTGATGTTTTCCGAATGGTACTTTCCGTCTGGTTAACTATATATATATTTTTTGGTACATAAAATACGAAATCTGTGAAAATAATAGAAAGCGTTTTGTACGTTGCAGGCTAGCACTCGGTGGGAAAAGAGACAAGCCAAAGTCTTGGTACAATTTCATTGCATATTTCATAACCATCTCTCTGTACAAGCCAATATGATTTGCAGTTCATGATAAAGTGGAAATTTCTTATACGAGAAGAGACTTGTGATTTTGTTCTGGAAAATGACATTAACACGAAAAGTCCTAGTGCAGGGACAAGCTAAGGTTAGGATGACGAAGCAGAAAGGCTCCGATAAATCAGATTCATATTGGGACTACCTCTGGGCCAAGCCTAGGGACTACCAAACTACAGGTAACAAGCATAAGTCAGCAAAAATATTTTCGAATCTATAGCTATAAGAAAAACCGTAATCTGATCCAAATCGGGACCCACACCTTGTTTCAGAGGAGGAAGCTAAAGAACGGGCAGGCCGAGCTGCAGCAGCTGCTCGAAGATGGAGGGAGTACTCTCGAAAAGGTGTCGACAAGCGCCCCACGTTTAAGCTTCCGGAGGCGGCCTCCAAGGATAACTAAAGTACAGTCTGACCACCCTCATCACCTTCCTGTTATAAGTACATAATAATTCATGTGTTTACGAGTAGTTCATCGATGAATTCCTTAATGCCATGAATTAGCACTCTTGAAAACGTTAGTATATGTAAATGCATAGAAAATTTAGCCCATGGTTCTTGAATTCATAAACAAGAAATCAATAAGAAATATATACTAGTTGCTGTTCTTCTGTCAACTTCAGTAGCTGTTGGTATTTAGATCACAATCAGATATTGAATTAAAAATCTATGTCAGAATAGGAATTTGTATTATATATGTATATATTCCTGTTTATGAAAAAGCTGAAGGGGAGGAAGAAGAATATCCTGGGATATTCATTCAAGATGGTGGCTGGAGGAGATAGAAGGCCGGAATTTCAGTCATTTTCACGTAAACAACTCAACTTTATCACGTTTCAGTCGGTCAAAACGTATCTGTTTGGTTTTGTTTATACATGGGGCTGGTTCTCTGTACTTCACCCCCTGTTTTGATTGCAACACTAGGGAAATTATGTTCTCTACTGGTTGGCTAATCTAAAGAGGAATTGATAACTTTGTTTAAGTACTACCAGAAGGTGACCAGTTCAAACCAAGCAGGTTCATAGACAGCTCTCACGAAAAGTCGAACTTAAAACATTATAATTATCAAATCGACTGTTCAATTAACTCGGTTGGTTTATATCCCAAAAGGTATGGAGTTAGCCTGAAAGTCAAACTTAAAACGTTATAGTTATCAAACCAACTGTCCAACTAATTTTGTTGGGATTGTTCACATTTTATATCTCAGAAGGTATGGAGTTAGCCTGATTTCAAGGAAGTGGCGAAGCCCGCCTTGTGACCCTAGCTAGTAAAATGCCACAAAATAGTAAAATAGCTTAGATTGCTCATAAGTGACCAACTCAAATCAAGAAGGTTCATAGACAGTTTTCACAAAAAGTCGAACTTAAAATGTTATAATTATCAAATTAACTGTTCAATTAACTCGGTTGGGATTGCTCACATTTCATATCCTAGAAGGTACGGAGACTGGAGTTAGTCTGAAAGTCAAATTTAAAATGTTATAGTTATCAAACCAATTGTCTAACTAATTTGATTGAGATTGCTAACATTTCATGTCCCAAAACTCCAAAGGTATGGAGTTAACCTGATTTTAAGGAAGTGGGGTTCTCCGAAATCCTTTTAATAATTATTATTATCGTTAATATCGTCGTCATCAGCTCCAATAAAGGACTGTCAGAGTGTATGAATCATCTTCCAATAGTGTATTTTGAGAATATTTTAAAGGCCACCATATATGCATGGTTTGTCTTACGTAGTTACGTTACGTTCTTGGACGAGGTTGGTATGATTTGGCAGTCGCATGAATCCTGGTTGCTAGACGCCAGGCCGCCAGGGTGCTTATTGATTTGGTGGTTGTAAAATGCAATGGTCGACTAGTTTATGTAGGATTATTGGCTGCTCATAATATTATTGTTAACATCGTCATCCTCAACTGCAATAAAGGACCAGTCATAGTGCAAGAATCAGCTTCCATTAGGTTATCTAGTTTTGGTTTATTTACTGTCTATAGATACACCTATTCCCTTTAATAAGTATATAGAAAGAAATAGGTTTACAATGTCATAAATTAAACTAGTTAATAGATTCAACATTTTAGTGTGGTTTGACTCATGTGTATTATGATCAGACCTTATTCATGGATCAACCTTTGGTTTAAGATTTCATTCATCTGGTTGTTTGACAGAATATTCGATATTCCCAATTTTTTTGGGTGTACTTAGAAGTTTTACTTTTACTGTCGAACACAATGACTAATCTCTTCGCTGAATTGTAGCATTTCTAATGGGTAGAGAGTTGGCTGGAAATTTAATGTTGTTCCATACCCAAAACCAAGAACCCAATTGAACCCTTAACCCATCCCGGCTAGATGTTCAATGGGTTTGGGTCTTTATGTGTTCCGTTGCATTGTGACCCATTGAATATGACATTAGTGTTGGTTTGACTCGTGTGCATTAGGGCTGCAGTTATGCACCTATGGAAGGCGGCCAGGCGGGCAAAGCCGGTTTGGGGCAGGATGGGGTAAGGGTGTTGGGTTGGAAGGTGTTCATATACGAAAGATCATTGTCTCTGAATTGACGGATGGTGCATTTGAACTCTTCACGTGCAGGAAGAGCCAAATTAATATTTGTGGGATTCTCTGAATGATCACAATCAACAAATGTTTTATTCATGTTTCAGCAGACATCACAGGATAAGTGGCATCGGAGAATAAGGTTCTTCCCATCTCCCAATATGTACACTTGCACCACCTCCCACCTAACCACAATTTGCTAAAAACAATAAAAACCAAAACCAGGAAACATAAACAAGCTAAGAATTGAAAGAAGAAAACATTATCGGACGGCTGATGCAACAGTTTGAGCCCAGAATTTGAGGTTGTCCTTCATGTTGGTTTCGTTGCTGAGAGGTGGAAATCTCCATTTCAGAAGCTTCTTCATCATCTTTCTCTGATCCATAATGCTCCACGCTTCAGAAAGATAAGGCCTTTGAACTGAACTCTCATTGGTCATCACTTCATCTCTGCTTCCCCATCTCTGCAACCCAGGAATTATGGATGCCAAACTCGAGCTCTTATCTTCTTCTGTAAACACAAACCCCAAATCCATAAATCCTTTTAGCTCCTCAATTTCAAGCTCTGATAAGCTCCTATGACCGCCAAGCTTTTTCCTCGCCACCCTCCTTTTCTTAATTTCACACACCTTCTTCGTGATAAGCAGCGCCGTGGCAGCCGCCGCCGCCGTTGCCGCCGCCTGCAAATCTTCAAGCTCCGGTTTGATGATCCCAGACTTTAAAGAATCGGAGGGTGGGCTAAAACTCGTCCCAAAGCTTAACAAATTATCGCTCTGTGATCGAACCTTAAGAGATAGAACACCCATCATCGTCTTTGATTCTTTTTTATATTCATCATCAAGAACTGGCTTGGTTTCGTGAACTGATGGGCATTGTTTTCTGGTTAGAATCTCCCCTTGAAACCAGCAAGAATCAAAGAGCTTCAGAATCTCTTCAGCCGCCACCATTGATTTAATTACCTTAAGCTTCAAGGAAGTGAAGGCTGATATAAATATATTTGTGCATATATAGTGGTCCATTATGGCTGCTCAATGATGAGCATAATAAAGGAATCTTGATAGCGAGTGATTCGAATCAAATAAGTGGTTGATAATAAAATACAAGTTTAATGACACGTTGGAGAACATAATTCTGTCTTCCAATCAATGCTTGCATTAGTTGGCAAATCAAAATCATTATTACATGGAAATGACCTAACATTTTGCACATACCGCTTACTTATTGTTTGGATGATTCATTGCTTAGTAGGATGATCAATTATGTCAAAATTTTGTATAAACATTACTCAGACCCAAAAAAGAACATTATTTGTTTTTTGGGCAAAGAGGGAAACCATATTCGTTATCAAGGGTGTGCATTAAGTAAATCTCACCTTGTGACTTTAGTTGGTAAAAGATCACAATGAGATAAATCAACATAATAAGTTGCCCATAGTTGACCAGCTCAAATCAAGAAAGTCAATAGGCCACTCAAATTTGTAATCTGGTTGTTAGCAAGTCAATAGCCTGACCAACTTGATTGAAGTTTATCTAAAACATTACTTTTGTACCTATATGGAGTAAAACTTTTATGAGAACCATGATTAAATTTAGAGTTACACTTGTGTGAGACTGGCTCATGAATCTTTATCCGTGAGACCGGTCAGGTCAATATGAAAATGTAATACTTATACTAAAAAATGTAATCATAATTAATAATACATTAAAGTGTTTGTTACTTATAAGAGAAAATGTAATACTTTTGAGGACAAGTATAATACTTTTACATTTTGATGTAAAAGTATTACATTTTTCATCAAAACTATTACATTTTCGCTTATAAGTAATGTTGGTAAGTGTTTATTACTTGAAAAAATTTAATACTTTTGAAGAAAAATATAATATTTTTAAATTAAAATGTAAAGTATTATATTTAATATCTTTATTAGTACTATATTTTTTAGTATAAGTATTATATTTGATCTTGACTCAACTCGTCTCACGGATAAGGATTCGTGAGGCAGTCTCAAAAAAATTTTTGTCTTAAATTTAAAAATAAAATAATCTTTTGTTCATTGATTTTTGTATTTTGATCCTTGAATTATAAGGAAATGACACTTTTCGTTCTCTTAATTATACACGTCATCACTTACACCATAATTGTGGAACAAAAAATGTTACTCCGTATTTTCTAGGATTCATGAATGAAAAATGTGTCATTTTCTCTTGAGATTAAGTCTTTGATCCAATTCTATTACATTTATTTTGGGACTATCATATTAATTTTCACTTTTAGTTGTTGATGTTAGGTTACCTTTTTATAAAGAAGAAACTAACAAGAAAACAACTTCCTAAATATATGTTGACCCAGCAACACCTGTGGAATCTGCTAGCAGAAGATATTGATCGAATCCCATTGGGAGAATGTTAGGATTTCATTGAGGACTAATACTATTCAGTTTATGAAAGTTTAGGGACTAAAAATATTGTCTATCTGGTGTGAATTTGGCTAAATTTTGCAAGTACAGAGTGAATAGGAAATGCAGAGTGGGAGAATTTGTAGCTAGCAAGAATCTGTGACTGAAAGAAAAGAAAGATGATGGCATTCATAAACCTTAATGCTAAATCATCATTATCTAGCATTAGATGCAACAGTATGAGCCCAGAATCTAAGATGGTTTTTCATGTCCATTTCATTACCAAAATCTGGAATTCTCCAATTCACTAATGGATTCTGATTCTTCCTGTTTTCTCCCATAACATCCCATGCTTCTGAAAGATATGGCCTTGAAACTGCAATCCCCTTCTTCTCTCCTTCTTCTTCTACGCCTTCTCTTCCCAGCCTCTGCAGCCCAGGGATAATTGAAACCAGGGTTGAATCCCTATCCTCATCCGAGAACACAAACCCAAGATCCATAAACCCTTTTAGCTCCTTAAACTCGAGCTCGGATAAGCTCTTACTGTTCCCACTACCATCCTTCCTTCTCCTCCTCCTCCGGCAACTTTCTCTGTTCTTGAAACTCACGCCGGTGAAGCTGCCGCCGGCGTCTTTCATCTCCCCCTGTTCGGAAATTCCGATGTACTCCTTGCCGGAAAGAATGGGCTGGAGCTTGGACGACTCGAGAAGAACAGACTTGGGAGAGGGCACCTCTGAATCCAAGCTGTCCTTGGAGCTCAAACATTGGTCGCTGAAAGATCTGGAGATGAAAGTTGGGGTTCTAGAAAGCTTTTTAGGATTCTCGACATCTTCTTGGGGTGTCGGGTTTGAATTTGATGATATTAAGGTTGGGTTTTTCGAGGTGAGAATTTGGTGTTCGAACCACAAAGAATCAAAGAGGTGTAGCAGCGTCGGATAATGTTGTTGTTCCGCTGCCATTCTTGCGCCGAGGAAGGAAAACAGTTCCTGGGAGACTAATAAAATTTGGAAAAAGTAAAGGTTGTTTAATGGGGACATAAAGATAAGCACAATTGATTCAAATTATACAAGAGGATAATCATTATCGTTATATTTTATTCTATTTTATTATTATTATTATTGACATTCTGGCCTGCATTACATTATTGCCCCTTACTATATTCCATAATGCCTAAAGTGTTTCGTCAATATCTTTGTTTGGTGCACTGTTCTTTCATGCTTAACGCTTTAAATTATTTAAATTCAATGGGCTGGGTCTAATCTCAATATAAATTCTTTTAAGGATTTTTTTTTTTTTTTAATTTTGAATTTTGGACCTTATTTAAAGAGAACAAAACTCTTCCCACTCAAATCACATGTTATTATTTTATTAATAAACTGCTTTACAGATTACCATTTCAGATTTAGCTAGTGTAAAATTATATGATTTTTCTAACATGTTGAGTTGATCCCACATTGCCCATTGGTCCCTTTTATAAAGTACAACCATACATATGTCAAATTGTACTATGTGCTGGGTAGGGTGTCGGACCGAGAATTGAAGCAAGCATGCGTTTTATCTCAACTAAAAATCTAAATTGATAGTTGAATTGACATGACCAATTACTTTTGATGGATGGACTCCAAGCAACCACCCATGACCTTTGGCATGACTCTGTCACTCTGATATCAAATTAAAGTATATGCTCTATCTCAACTAAAAGTCTAAGCTGATAGTTGAATTGCACATTTATATTTATATATATTATATGCTCAACAAACTGAATTTGGAATGAATTTGAAAATTTTCATATGCCTACTAGATGTGCAGATACAATCTAAACTTATCAATTAATAGCTAATTTGGTGGATTGGATGAGGATCCAATGGCAAATTTTAAGATGTTTTGAAATAGTGTTTATTAAGCTTGTGATTGTGATGTTGGAAAGAATAACAAATCTGACTTGAGGTAAAAAGTTAGAACTCATAAACGACAATGGAGAAAAATAAACTTAAAATCCGAGGCTTATAGTCTACACTATATATATTATTCTGTAATATTATCAAAATTTAGAAAAGTGACTTCACACAACTTTAATTAATTTTATGAATCAAACGAAATGTATTTCGTATGGAACACAAAATAGAGTTTCCACATAAGATATTTTGATTCTCATATCCTTAACCAACCCACTCTGTAGCGGTGGCTATTCCTTCCCTGCATTTGGATGCTTAAAGCTAACAATTCATTTTATATGGAGTTAATACCACAAATGGTCCTCTCATTATTAGGTTAGTACTTTTTATTTATTTATCTACTTTCGATCAAATCACATACCTAGACTTTTATTTTTTTTAGCATAAATAGTTCTTCGTTAATATTTTTGTTAAACGGTTGTTAAATATAGGGGCATCATTGTCAAATTAATTAATATGATTATGATTATATCTTTTAGAGAGTTAATTTGGCGATAATACTCCTAGGTTTAGCACTCATTTAATCGAAATCTTAAAAGATGACTATTTGTAGTAAAAAATGAAAGTCAAGTACGTATTTTGATCGAATTGAAAGTTAAAAATTAAAAAGCGTACTAATCCATTTGTCAGAGGACTATTTGTAATTTCGATTAAATGAGTGCTAAACCTATGAGCAAAAGTTTTATAAAAGTTTAGCCCCTACTTGGGCAACGACTTGTCGACTTTTATTTTATTTTATAAAAGTTTATATGGAAAGACAATTTGAAAGACGTATGATTCACATGATTCACAGGGAATTACAGGTGTCAACCAGCAATTGTGGGGTGGAAGAAAAACAAGAAATTGGAATGCACGTGACACCAACAAATCTGTCTTCTTTCTTTTGTTTTTTGTTTTGGTGTCACGTGCATTCCAATTTGTTCTTGGTGTTAGTTACGGAGTATTTGGGAAGAATCAAAATGCAAGCCATTTTCATCTCATCTCACTACAACATAATAAAGTGCCTTTCCTTGGTGTTCTCCCTTGTTACTATCGAACATATAATCATTAATGTGCAATCTAACTATTAGCTTAAATTTTTAGTTGAGATAAAACACATGCTTCAATTTGGTATCAGAGTCATACCAAAGGAACACATGCTTCAATTGTTACAAGTTAAACAATTGTTTATGTTTTTGGAGATGAGAAAAATTTGTAATCATTATTCAAAAATGTACATTTGATACTTCACCAAAAAAAGAAAAAAAAAAACCTTATATATATATATATATATATATATATATATATATATATATATATATATATATATATACACACACACAATAATATCCTTAAAAGATTTTCTTTCAAATGAGTCCAAAATTCTATTAAATTAATCTCTTTTCATGCCGATATCACTGAAATATGAAAAAAATAATATCAAATTGATGAATCTTTTATAATCTAATTGATGGGTATTAGCCACCTAAATTGTTGAGCTAATCGTTTGACGTTAAAGTTAAACCCATAAAGAACTAAAGGAGTCATAGATTCACTTTTACTTGAAATATCATTTTCAATATTTAGTATGGTCAACCAAGCTCGTTAACGTGAGTAATTGTGCACTTTCATCCCTTAAGAAAGTTAGGCGTTCAAAACACCCTTTCGTATAAAAAATCAATACGACCAGCACTTAATTAAGCTGATTATAGTTAGAGCCTACATGTAATCTAACAAAAAAAAATATATGGTCAAACTACATTTTATCTTGTATGTTGTTGTTTTCAATTTAAAAATAGAAAATAAAAAATGAAGTAAATTGAGTCTCAATGTCACAGCAGCTCACTCTCCAGTCTGCAGGCAAACTGGGCAATAACAGGGACATTTCACAAGCAGAAAAATGCTTAACAAGTAACAAGCAACAGTTAAAACACTTAAACTTAAACGTGGAAGAAAATAGAATTGCAATATTAATGAAATCTATAACCTGTCTGGCTGTCTTGAAAGCTATTGGCAAAAGGAACAAATGGCCTATATATTGAAGAGTTTCGGCGAGAGTGCTTCTTAGCACGACTCTCATGGCTACCTTAATGTTCACGCCTTCCCACAAACAAAAGAAACCCAAAACCCAAACGTAAAATCATCGATTTAATGATAATGTACAGGAAGATGGTGCAGCAGGTTCATTTAGCTCGAACAGCATCCACCTCGTTTCCCAGAAGACCCTTCATCTTTGACATTGATATTCTCTCCTTTAGGAGGAACAGATGAAGCGGCACCATCATCGCCAGCATCAATGGCCTTCTTACTCATGACATGGTAGATCTGAGTGAGGACTTCGGTGAATGCGTTTTCCACATTCGTGGCTTCCAGTGCAGAGGTTTCCATGAAGTAGAGAGCTTCCGACTCCGCCAATTCCTTACCTTCCTCGGTTTGAACTGCCACTAGATGCCTAAGATCCGATTTGTTGCCAATGAGCATCACTACGATGTTGGGATCCGTGTGGTCTCTCAGCTCTTTCAACCACCTCGACACGTTCTCAAATGTAACATGCCTAGAAACATCGTACACAAGTAAAGCGCCCACTGCTCCTCTGTAGTAAGCACTAGTAATGGCACGGTACCTGCAACATAGGAAGCAGAAAAACCAGTGGATTTAAGCAAATAGTTTAGCTCAAAACTTGAATTTAACTAACGAATAGGACATAAATAACTTCGGATACTTTTGGGTGTATAATTTCATAATTTGGTCAGAATAAGGGAAAGCTAAAGCTTCTATGATCACTAAAGCTTCATATCCTATGCCAACTACCATGTAGTGTGATGACATCCCGGTTACCATTTTAAATGAGTGGTCATAGGTTCAAACCCGGCTTAGATTCTTTGGGATGAAAATGTTTGAGAAAGTATAGAACATATACTACCTTATAAAGAATCATGAGTATTTCAAAAAAAAAAAAAAAAAAAAGCTTCATATCCTATAGTGGGGTAGCAAAACTAAGAACATGGTAATTAGTATCAAATCCAATAGCATAGAAGAAAAGTAGCCAACCAAACGCCATCTAGGACTGTCTATATATTTTATTCTAGCTGGATTTAGGGCTCTCTAAGGGGATTTTAAAAGCACGCACAAAGTACTGGGTTGCTACACCAACTCACCAAGGTGATTCTATATATCAAGCCAATTCCCTAATTATTCTCTTTTGGTTGAGAGGAGAAGGGATGCATAGAAAGACAAAAGAATGAGGAAAATAATGTAATAAAATGAATCAAGAAAATTTTCCTCCCACTGTTAAAAAAAAGTGTGAATCCATCTCATAACAACGTTACATATTACTAAATGAAGCAAATAAAGATTACGCCTTTTGTGTGCCCTAATTGATTATGACATTCTGAAATTTGTAACTCATATTCTACACCCTTTATTTTCCACACTGAGAAATCCATATCAGAGCATACCGCAACTTACAGATTATTGACATGTAACTAAGTAAACCTGAGTAATGTCAGTATCAAATCATTCAAAGAAGCCGATGATACGCCAAAAGATTTCTGACACAGCTAAGCAATAGCTTGGTTTTTGAAGACCTCGTAGGTGAAAAGATTGCAATAGATAGTAATTTAAAAACCCCCAACTACGAATAGATGGTTGGATCTAAATCACAATGCTCATGTATCTTATAAATTCAGAGAAAGGTAAATGCAAAAAGAAAAAATCTTTACCTCTTCTAGAGACTTAAGAGTGTGTTTACTAACCGGAGAAACTCTCCATTTTTCTGTAGAAAGGAAATTGGAGAATTGAAGTAACCACAACCTTATTCTTTTGGGTGACGAGAGAAACCCACAACCACTACCCGAGTGTGTGCACTAGGTAAACCCCGTTTTGTGACCTTAGCCAACAAAGGGCAATAAGGAGGTGAACCAACCTAAATTGTCCATAGCTGACCTACTCAAACCAAGAAGGAATAGGCCGCTCCAGCTAAGAGTCGAAATTGTAACCTTGAAGTTACCAAGTCAACATCCTGACCAACTTGGTTGGGATTGCCCCCACCACAACCTTATTTTCAGGCACTGGACTTATGGCCTTAAAGTCAGTGAGTATCTATATCTATATATCTATATGAAGTCCAATGTGGAGAAGAGTACAAGTAAAACCATCAGCCCAACCAATCTACTCACAGCCTACTGTGTGTTTATATGCATAGATTGGTAATACATATTGTAGAAGGTCAATAACAAAGAAAAAACAAAAGTTCACACACTCTGAAAATAAAATTGTACTCCGTATAACAGTTGCAGTCGGTTTGTATGGCATCATAGCATAAAATTTCAAACATAAATTTAAATCCCCACCACCTTGTTCGAACAGCCTTCCCTTTTCCGGGCTGAGAAAATTAATTCTAAAACAGATCCTTAGTTTCAATAAATTGAGGAAGGCAAGAATACACAGACAAGGCGGACCTGGGAATGGAAGTCAATCCAATGGTGTTCTGGAACTCCTTAACTTTGGTTTTAAAAGAAAAGCAAAACAAAACAAATGGTTCTACAACCATTGACCTTTCAAACATAATTCCTCAATAACTTGACAAACTAGTACAGTTTTCCTTGCACAACACTAAATATTTAAAATAGCCGATTAGAGAATAATAAAAGTATAAAACCCCTCTGACCTGCAAGACAGTGATATATATATATATCCAATTATCCACACTTCACATACCTCTCAAACCCAGAAAGCAAATGAAAAAATTCAGGCATTTAGCAGCCCAGCCCAGATAAGAACGGTGAAAAATGACACCAAGAGATCAAAACAACCTGACACCACAATGCCACAACACATCCAGCAATCATTGACTATCTTTTACCCAATCCACAATCATTTCCCCCCACAAATAAAGATTGAAACTTTACATAACACAATCAGAATCCAAGTATTGCAAGCAAAGCAAATCATATGAAAGAACGGAGGCGTGTGTGTAAATAGGGTTGGGATAGAGAAATGGTAATGACCTTTCCTGACCGGCGGTGTCCCAAATCTGAGCTTTGATGACTTTTCCGTCGACGGTGAGGCTCTTGGTGGCGAACTCGACCCCAATAGTGGACTTGGACTCGAGATTAAATTCGTTCCTGGTGAACCTGGACAGCAGATTGGATTTGCCCACTCCCGAATCTCCGATCAGAACCAGCTTGAACAAGTAATCATACTCATCTTGTGCTCTGTAGCCAGCCATCTCGCTTCTCACTTCTCAGCTTCAATTGGATTTAAGCAATCGGAGAAATCGGAAGTGATCGAGAGAGACACTAAATTTCAGACAGGCTAGTTGCTGTCTGGCTGTCTTGGGTTGGCTATATTCTAGGAGGAGAAAGCTTTCAACTCAAATAAGGAACATCTATATATGAATTTACAGACATATCCCTTATAAGGTTTTCTGTATTTTTTTAAAATTTTTTTTTTAATAAATAAATTCTCCCCTCCCAGCCTCCCTCTAGTCAAATTTGTCCAGCTATTTATTTAAATGTAATTACACCCTTAAATTAAAAATAAAAGATAAAGAAATAATACTCCGTAAAAGATAGGTAAAAATATGTAATAAAGTCTTAATTTATAATTTTTATACCACACTAACACCACACACTCACAAACTATTGTCTTACACATACTACTAATTTACCACCAAATTGTCAACAATCTTTCGCCCACCACATTTCCTGACCTAGACATTCGCTACTAAATGTCACCAAAAACTAAATTTTCACCATAAAATCTCTTCCCAATCATAAGACCTAATTGAATGAGGCATATTTTTAGAAGACAATTTAAAAAATAAGCTAGCTAGGAGAGGGTTAATGCCCTCTCTTAGCTCATCATGTTGACTCGAGATATTACTAATTTAAGAAGAGAAAATACATTAAAAAAAATTCGATGAAAAAAGAATAAGTAAGTAGTTAAATTTTTTTCTCTAATCTATTCACCCATTCTTTGAAGTTTTTCACCCTTAGTGTTTTTGAAAACCAGACTTCTGAAAATACAAAAAAATATTTTTAAAAATAAGTAAAATACAAAAAAAAAAAAAAAAAAGAGTTAGTTTAACCAATTAATAGTAAGCATGACAAATAAAATGAGACAGCTTTGAATACTGATCCTTTTGCAGAGATTGCGGGTGGTTTACTATTATATTCACTAATACTTGGCACATCAGTTCTGCTCATTTCAGTATCAGGCTATATATTGTTGGATATACAGGACAACAATTCTGGTTTATTACAAGACAAAAGATGCTTACCTATATCCACTATCTCTGATAAAGAAACAAGGCTTCTCACACTTGCTAGAGGCCCTATATGGCTATATACCCTCTTTGTATTGATGATATTCAGAGAAAGAGATCACACTCTGATTTTGCAGTTTGCAGGCCAGGTGATGATGAGAATGGAGGTCTTCTGCAACTTGTTCCTTTTTTCGATCTTTTCCAATAATCTTCTTGGTTTGTGCATGGAGAGTGGTGAATTGGGCATGGCTTAGACCCAAGACTTTGGAGAAATGGCTCAGGGGACAGGCTCTCAAGGGTAATGCCTATACACTTTTCTATGGGGACACCAAAGAGCTTGCCAAGATGATAAATGAAACCAAATCCAAACCCATGAAAGTTCTTGCCAGCAAGCAGCATTTTTATGTTCTACTGCATTTATTTATGAGCTAGCACTGTTTGTAAGATTGAATGGCAGGCACTGTTTGTATCAAATAAAATATATCAAATAATAAATGAGTACCCTTATTTAACTGCTTAAATTTTTAATTGTGGTTCTCCAATTATATAAAATCTCATACCTTATGGTACCGATTTTAAGTTTAACTGCTCCTTTTGCGCCAAAACATGTCTTAAACAATATGACTTAATTTAAATGACTCAAGTCGAACCCCATCGTGTTTCTATCTTTCTTTCTTGTTTTCTAGCAGCAGCTTTGAATAGTGATTCTTTTGCAGAGATTGTGGGTTTACTTTACTATTCACTATTGGCAATTTGGCACTATAACATTGTGATGTTTGATTTCTTAGCTAAATCGATGGCATTGCATTCGGATTTAGAATTCTTGATGGGGCATATCAGTTCTGCTAATTTCAGTATCAGGCTAGTTTTTCGAGTTTTTACTTAAATAATTTTTGGATATATAGTACAACAATGCCGGTTTATTACAACACAAAAGATGCTTGCCTATATCCACTCTCTCTGATAAAGACACAAGGGTTAGTTCTGACACTTCCTAGAGCCCCCTCCCCCTTATACATTATACCCTCTTTGTATTGATGATATTCAGAGAGATCACAGTCTGATTGTGCAGGTGATGATGGGAATGGAGGTCTTCTGCAACTTGTTCCTTTTTTCTTTTTCAATAATGTTCTTGGTTTGTGCATGGAGAGTGGTGAATTGGGCATGGATTAGACCCAAAACTTTGGAGAAATGGCTTAGGGGACAGGATCTCAAGGGTAATCCCTATAGACTTTTCTATGGGGACACAAAAGAGATTGCCAAGATGATGAATGAAACCAAGTCCAAACCCATGAATGTTCTTTCAGATGAAGTAGTTCCTAGAGTAATACCTTACTTCTTCGAATCCATCCAGAAACACGGTATGCTGTTCATTTGAGCAATACCTTACTAGTTAATCCATTGGATTCAATTTTTTAGTCCTGGTTTGACTCATGTGCATTATAGTCCAGTAATATGTCTTTCCCTTTTTGGTTTGTAACATCTAAGTCAATCGTGAAACGGTGTTCTGCAGGTAAAAATTCCTTCGTATGGCTGGGGACAATTCCCATGGTGATCATCACAGACCCTGATCATGTGAAAGAGGTTCTGTCTAAGCACAACACTTTTCAGCAGAATCTTGCGGATCCAGTAGTGTATAAATTGTCACAAGGGCTACTTAAATACGAGGGAGATAAATGGAGTAAACACAGAAAAATAGCCAATCCCGCCTTCCAATTGGAGAAGTTAAAGGTTTGATTCTTCCCCATCCCCATTCCTGCAAACACTGATTATTTGTTAGAAGCATATATTATTAAGGCAATGACACTAATTAGTACGAGACCCATGTTCCTAACGTCTTGATCTCAATCAGCACATGGTACCGGCTATGTACAAGATCTGTAGTGAAATGGTGGGAAGATGGGAGGAAATTGTGTCGAGGAACGAATCTGGGGAGCTGGATGTGTGGCCTGAACTTAAAACCATTGCAGTTAATGTGATTTCTCTTACAGCATTCGGCATCAGTTATGAAACCGGAAGAAGGTTGTTTGAACTTCAACATGAACTAGCTGAACATGCTAGTGAGCTTAGGCATTCAGTTTATATCCCTGGAGGGAGGTGGTTTTATCTCATCTTTACCATAATCTTGTTCAAAGAATCTAAACAAATCTATTGCCTTTACAACTATTTATCTTTCATGGAATGATACTGCAGATTTTTGCCAACAAAGAAGAACAGGAGAATGAATGGAATTGATAAGGAAATCAATACAGTACTCAAAAGGATCATCGAGAAAAGGATCGGGGCAATGAAAGAGGGGGAGGAGGCAAGTAACAATTTATTGGATATGTTACTGGAATCCAACTTCAAAGAAATGAAGCACCATGGAAACCAGGAATTCGGGATGAGCATTGAAGATATCATTTCAGAGTGCAAGCTGTTTTACCTGGCTGGCCAGGAGACTACTTCAGATTTACTTGTGTGGACAATGATTCTGCTAAGTAGAAACCAAGAATGGCAAGAACTAGCCCGAGAGGAGGTCATGCATGTCTTTGGGGACGACAAACCTGATTTCGATGGACTAAATCGCCTGAAAATTGTGAGTACTGTTGAGCATATAATATATATAAACATAAATGTGCAATTCACCTATCAGCTTATGCTTTTAGTTGAAATGAGCACATGCTTCAGTTTGGTATCAGAGCCATGCCAAATGTCATGTGTTCCGTTTTGCTTGATCATATCCCAACAGGTGACAATGATTCTGAACGAGTCTTTGAGGCTATACCCGCCAGTGCCAACACTAATCCGAATAGTGAAGGAAGATGCTAAACTAGGAAACCTGTCTCTGCCAGCAGGGGTGCGGCTCCTAGTACCAATAATCTTTCTGCACCACGACCCCGAAATGTGGGGTGAAGATGCAAATGAGTTCAACCCGGAGAGATTCAGGGAAGGGGTATCCAAGGCAACAAATGGTAAAGCCTGTTATCTACCCTTCAGCGGGGGGCCTAGAATCTGCATTGGCCTAAACTTCGCAATGGTTGAAGCAAAAACAGCACTGTCTTGTATCCTGCGACGCTTCTCCTTCAAGCTCTCTCCATCCTATGCTCATGCTCCTTACACGGGTCTCACTACAAACCCTCTGTATGGTGCCCCTCTTATTCTGCAGAAGCTTTAGTTTCAGAATTGCCAGAAAGCAGCATCTTTAAGTTCTATTGCATTTTTATGAGCTAGCTAGCTCTATGTGTTACTTTTTGGCAGTGTTTGTATCAAATAAAATATACTCTGTATCAAATAATAAATGAGTACCCTCAGCTCATTTTACTGCTTAAATTTTTTATTGTGATTCTCCAATCATATAAAATCTAATACCTTTCTATAATTTTTCAACTTTTAAATGCAAAAATACAAATTATTACCAAATGCAAAGGCAAGCAAAGGCAATCGCATGGGACAGTCTATTCTGAGATCGTCAACTTCCCGCGCATTCACCACAGTAAGCTCCAGAGATTACGCAGTCACGACTTTGTGTTCCGAAGGCTTTGTCAACACCTCTCAGATATGGTTAAACCCATCCCTCTTCTCTCATTTTCTCCAAGAATGCATCCGAGTCCAGTCTCTACCCCTGGCCAAACAGATCCACTCGTTGATCCTCACATCTGGGTGCTTCAGACACCAGTTTGTATCCAACCACCTCCTCAATACGTACGCGAAATTGGGTCGTTTAGATGTTGCCCATTTCTTGTTTGATACAATGCCCAGGAAAAATGTAATGTCTTTTAACATTTTGGTTGGCGGGTACATTCAGAATGGTGATTTGGATGTTGCCGCCAAGTTGTTTGATCAAATGGGCGAGAGAAATTTGGCGACTTGGAATGCGTTAATCACTGGGTTTACCGAGTTCGAGTTCAATGATAAGGCGTGGAGCTTGTTTTCTGAAATGCATGTGCTTGGTTTCTCGCCTGATGCGTTTACTCTTGGGAGTGTTCTGAGAGCCTGCGCTGGATTAAGAGATTTGATTAGGGGCAAGCAAGTTCATGGGTATGCGGTGAGGTCAGGGTTGGATGGCGATCTGGTTGTTTCGAATGCACTGGCTCACATGTACATGAAATCTGGTGTTCTTGAAGAAGGGGAGAGAGTGATTAGGGGGATGCCATTTCAGAATGTGGTTGCTTGCAATACTCTCATCTCAGGGAAGGCACAAAACCAGTGTTCAGAAGGTGCTCTGGATCAGTATAATATGATGAAGATGGCTGGGTTGAGACCTGATAAGATTACATTTGTAAGTGTGATCAGTTCATGTTCTGAGCTGGCTGTTCTTGGACAGGGCCAGCAGATTCATGGTGACGCTATAAAAACCGGTGCCATTTCTGAGGTTTCAGTTGTCAGTTCATTGGTCAGTATGTATTCAAGATGTGGATGCTTGGAGGATGCCATAAAGGCCTTTGAAGAGAGGAAGGAAGCCGATACTGTTTTGTGGAGTGCCATTATTGCTGCTTATGGGTTTCACGGGAGGGGAGCCGAGGCTGTAGAAATCTTTGATAGGATGGAGCTGATAGGATTGGAGGCAAACGACATCACGTTCTTGAGTCTGCTCTATGCTTGTAGCCATTGTGGAATGAAAGATAAAGGGCTTGAAATTTTCGACTCGATGGTGGGAAAATACAAATTAAAGCCTCGACTGGAACATTACACCTGTGTGGTTGACCTTCTGGGAAGATCAGGCCGTTTGGAGGAGGCTGAAGCTTTCATAAGATCAATGCCTGTCGAGGCAGATGCTATTATATGGAAGACTCTGCTATCGGCCTGTAAAACTCACAAGAATGCAGATATGGCAAGAAGGATGGCTGAAGAAGTTCTGCAGATTGATCCCCGAGATTCAGCTTCTTATGTGCTTCTTTCGCACACTCAAGCCTCTGCCAGAAGATGGCAGCAGGTTTCCGAAGTGAGGAAAGCAATGAAAGAGCGAGGCGTTAAGAAAGAGCCAGGAATAAGCTGGGTGGAACTGAAGAATCAAGTTCATGAATTTATTATGGGCAGCAACTCTCATCCCCAGTGTGAGGAGATTGACAGGTATCTAAAGGAATTAACTGCAGAATTAAGGCTAAGTGGGTATGTGCCAGACACAGGGTCAGTTTTGCATGATATGGATGTGGAGGAAAAAGAGTACAACTTGTTGCATCACAGTGAGAAGTTGGCAATTGCTTTTGCTCTTATGAACACCCCAGAAGGTGCCCAGATTAGGGTTATGAAGAACTTGAGAGTCTGCAATGATTGCCATGTGGCTATAAAGTATATATCCAAGATCAAAGGGCGAGAAATTGTTGTACGTGATTCAAGTAGGTTTCATCACTTCAAAAATGGACATTGTTCTTGTGGGGATTACTGGTGACTTGTGAGGAACAATATAACAGTGCCCCGGGGATACATGTGAGCAGTTACAACAATATAACATATTCATGAACGTTAACGAACACATTTGATATGGTGGGAGGTTCTGATCTTCTTATCTTTACAATCTTTTCCAAAAAGTTCCCTCTAGCTATAATTAATGCAGCTTATATAGACAAAAAAGGGGACACGTTTCGAATTCTCGATATGTTCACCACGTGTCACGAGTACGTTAAGTGAGAATGGTAGTGATTCTACGACAAGTCACACGTACATAATGTGACGTATCTCCATGTAATCGGGCTAGGCTTGAAGGTTAATGATCCATTAAAATTATTACGCTCAATTGGTTCGACTCGGGAACAGTTTGCCAACCTGCAATCAAGCCCTATGAGGTGAGGTCAAGAACTCGTGGGCTCACTCGTAAATGTAATCAGAAATTGATGATGAGGATGATTTGGACAATTCTCGAGCAGAAGTACAATATATCAAGGTTATATTTCCTATCAATATTCGCAAACGTATTCACAAACGTTAATGAATACGTTCAGGAACGTGTTCGACTGTTCGCAAACATTAACGACGCTAATGAATACTTAACAAATGAACACAAACAATATTTTCAAAAATCTTAACAAACGAACACGAACACTCCAAAAATCTTAATAAACGAACACAAACAACCTATGTTTATTCATGTTCGATTCGTTAACAACCTGGTCCACACTCCACAATACAATGATTGCTAATTGTCTACTCTCTTTCAAAACTAAAACAAACATGAATATATCAAACTGCATGCTGTATGAATGGCCAAGTATCTCCAACCTCTAGCACACAAATATCATTGCAAACTTATCTCCAGGGGATAAAACTTGTACGACAAAAATGTCAAAGGGGATAAAACTTGAGTTTTGGGACTCTTATCACCAATGGTGTTCAATACACATATGATTTACACATTAAAGAGGACTTCCCCCTAATGAAATTGCATCAATCCATTCAAGTATAAGCTACATATTTTGATTTACAAAGTGCATCGACTTCACTGAATACACAACCGCAATCTAATTTTACCCCAAAGAAATCGACTTCAGATTTGAAAGTTCGATGAGCTTGAGCCAAGCAGTCTCATGCAATAAGATGTTAGAAATATGTCATAAAATGTGAACCAACCTCTCGTTCCAGCACGATAAAGATTTTAGTCAGTCGCTAGCCTAGCAGCATAAACCACTTCAAAAGAATATGGTGTTTTCATCGTTCAGCAGCAGCGGTGCTTCTCTTCAACTTTATTACCTTTCCTCTATGGCTTCATATCCACGCAGATCGTCTGTTTCTTTTTCACGATTGACTTAAACTCTGCAACCAACGAATTTACTTCTTTTTCCTTCACACAGATGAATAATTCCAGACAAGGGATAAAGGAATAAACATGAAAAAAATATAAAAAGCAAATAAAGAATGAATGGTAAAGTCACTACATCTCCAATCCCATAGGCCTGAAATCTATCGTCCTACAGGACATATGTCATCTTCCAACATGGATTTTATGCAACTAACCAGGACCCCGAGTTCAGCAAAAGAATCGACACCTCTCAACATCTTTCAGGACTCGTCATCAGAAGTGACCGGGGTGCAGGTTGATTCAGCGAGAGATTCAAGCATGACTATAACCTCAGATGGATCATCCAAATAATACTTCGCTTTGCTTGGCTTTTGTCCAACAGTGCACGGAAAAACCTTTGCGTTGAAAGAGACGATACTTCTAGAGAGCGCATCACCAATTACTTCAAACATATCCTCATCGGATCTGTCATCACCGATGCAAAGCACAAAATCCGCCAGTTTCCCTTTCTCTGCCATAGAGGTGAATATTTTTTCTGCAACCAAACCTTTGGTGACTCCCTGTAAAGAAAAAGCATAAAAAAAAACCTTGAGAATTCATACAGATGGCTGATGAAACTAAAGGGTATCGTAATAAAAAAGAACAAGAATAGTGCAGATTAAGCATGTAAATAATGAAGCGCAACATAATCAGAAAAATAGAAGCAAACAAGAGATCAGAAATTGTTCACAGCAGTACCAGGATATGTAATGTCTAAATAGAAAGAAGGGGGCAAGGCAACCCCACCCAAGTTGGCCAGGCTATTGACTTAGTAACCACAAGGTTACAAGTGTTGAGCATATAACCATTAATGTACAATCCAACTATTAGCTTAGGCTTTTAGTTGCGATGGAGCACATGCTTCAATTTGGTATCAGAGTCATGCCAACGGTGCTTCAATTTGGTATCAGAGCCATGCCAAAGGTCCCATTAAAAAAAGAGACTATGGTCCACGTGTTACTTGGAGCCTAAAAGTAATCAGCCCGCACACGTAAGGGGGCGTGTTGAGCATATAACCATTAATGTGCAATCCTATTGGTCTTCTTAGTTTGAGACGGTCAGCTATAGGTAACCTAGGCTGATTTACTTCCTTGTGGTCCTTTGCGGGCTAAGGTCACAAGGCAAGGTTACCCAGTGCACACCCTCGGATAGTGGTTGTGGGTTTCCCTCGTCACTCAAAAACAAAATAGAAAGAACATTTTGAAATGCCAACACATAATAGAATGCAGCATACTCTACAACCAAAACAGTCCAAATTGATGATACATACCTGAGGCTTGACTTCTACAATGTGCTGCCCACTTTTCACCGCAACAGGTTCATTTGCCAAAACACTCTCGAGATGATCAAGCATCTCCTTTGCCTGAGAAAAACCAAAACCAGGATCTGCATCGCGATACTGCCAAACTATAGCACTTTCCTTCTTTTCAATGGAAGAACCGTCTGTAGCATCAGTATACGACTGCATCACAGGTTCAGCAAGCTGCATCCATCCAAAATCAGAGCCCTGACCAGACAGTTCCCAATCATGGTCTTGTGACCGCCTATGTTTTACAAGTTCAAAAATTAGCAAACTTCAAAAGCAAAAGAGGTTAAGAAAGCAATGCCACTTGACTCCATAAAATAAACCAAATAAAAGCCTAAGTGCACCCACAAAATCATTATCTGTTTGTGCTTTTGTCATATAAATGCATCATCGCAACTTTATCCAATCAGATATATATCACTAAGAAACGTAATTTAGTAAGGGAAAGAGTAGGAAATCATACCTCAAGAAGTAACCATGTTCTGCAGCAAGCCCCAATTTCCTACAAGGAGAGAACCACTTGCTTAAACTGTCCCTTCCTCTTCCACTAACTATAAAGACTGTATTATTTGGATCACTACAGATTTTGTTTAAAATTGCGAGGACTCTTTCACTAGGAGACTTGATGATAGAATTTTGGGGCATAACAGTTCCATCATAATCCAGTAATATCGCTCTGCTCTTAGCCTTAATATAGGCTGACTCAATATCATCTATTGAGAGCTTTCTGAAGTTGGGATCAAGGGCCACAACTCTGAAACCAAAGCCCAAACCAATGCCATAGCATCTTTTCCTAAAGTGATCAGCACAAGTTCTCTCCATATCTTGCAAAAAGCTCCGTGACCAATAAGCTACATGATGAGTGCTAACATAACGATAATGTTTCTCATGTCGCATTTGTTTCTCTTGCTCAGACATTGATAAAGCCTCGTTCATTGCCTCAGCAGTAGCTTCAACATTCCATGGGTTGATACGGATGGCCCCACTTAGCGAAGGAGAACACCCAATAAATTCAGATATCACGAGCATGCTCTTCATGGCTCCAGCCAAATCAGAATCTGCTTCTGCACCCGGAATTCCTTGTCTACACACAACATATTCATATGGAGTCAGGTTCATCCCGTCCCTCACAGCTGTAACAACAACACATTCTGCGACACTATAGTAAGCCATTTTTTCACTGCTTGATATGGAGTTATCGATGAAAACTACTGGCTCATATCCAGGATTGCCGAATTCCTTATTGATTCTCTTGCAGCTTTCTTGCATCTCAACGTGTATTTCCTCCAAATCAATCCCTTTCCCCCTTGCAGGATTTGCAATTTGGACGAGCACAGCCCTTCCTTGCCACTTTGGATGATGTTTGAGCATGTGTTCCATAGCCAGAAGTTTTAAGTTGATGCCTTTGAAAATATCCATGTCATCAACTCCAAGCAACACGATTTTTCCTTCAAATTGCTGTCTTAGTCCCTTGAACTTCTTCTCTTTATCAGCAAGTCTCATCACCGACTCAATATGTCCCATATGTATACCAACAGGCATAATCTTTATCCCTACCGTCCTCCCATAGTACTCCAGCCCAATATAACCCCTTTTTGACTGGTACTCTAAGCCTAACATCCGACTGCAGCAAGAGAGGAAATGTCGTGCATAATCAAAAGTGTGGAAACCAACAAGGTCAGAGCAAAGCAGAGCCTTGAGAATTTCTTCTCTGACAGGAAGTGTCCTGTAAATCTCGGAAGAAGGAAATGGGCTATGAAGGAAGAAACCCATTCTGAGTCGGTTGAATCGCCTCCTCAAGAATGTGGGCAACACCATCAAATGATAATCATGAATCCAAACAAAATCATCCTCGGGATTAAGAACTTCAATCACTTTTTGTGAAAAAATCTTATTCGCAGACACATATGCTTCCCACATAGACCGATCAAAGCGGCCTCCATGATCAGGTGAAAACGGCAACATGTAGTGAAAAAGCGGCCACAAATGTTTCTTGCAGAATCCTTCATAATACTTCTCCATTAAACTCGGGGGAAGGAAAGTAGGAACACACTGGAATTTTTCCAAAAGATAGCTGGAAACGTCATCCTGTTCAATTGGGTCAACATCAACACACAAAGATCCAACATATTGCACTTCCATTTCTTCCGGTAAACCATCCTTAAGTCGGAATAGTATCGAGTCCTCATTCCAACTAAAGCTCCACCCTTCATTATCTGGTCTTCGTTTTGCTTTCAAGGGCAACTGATTAGCGACAATAATCATCCTATCACAGACTAGTGAAGACTGATTATCAGAAGCAACACTATTAGTCTGTTCATCTTCAAACTCGCATATACTACCTGGCACCGTCATTACCCTCGGCATCGGCAGCCTTCTTCGCTCCCTCTCCCTCCCCATTTCTGGAAAATTTCCAGCTGCCAAATCTAAAAGGTTTGTATACGATCTTGACATCATCTTTACGAAGATACTAGGAGTGTCTCCTCAACTTCACCAAGTAAGCAGACAACGTCAGCACCCAAAATTCACTATTGTCTCCGCAATATTCTCAATTTCCTGAACAGCACAAATCCACACCATCAAAGATCAAACCCCTAGATCGAGCTAAAAATAATACTCAGGAAAAAGAAAACAATAAAATCGAACAGAAACACAATTCTCATAACCAGACAAGCATCTGATCCGATGCACATCTAGAGCAAAAACATCGAAATAAAAACACTAAATTTCTAAAAACCCTAACTTTCACATAACACAATAGAAAGACAAACAATTCCAAACTGGGAAATACCTATATGGGTGAATTGGGATTAGCATAAAAGCAAAAATAAAAATAAAAAATCCAATCTTCTCACCGAAAGACTCAAGCTTTAGAGTTAAATTGGATGGATTTCACACGCCGGAAGGAGACTTGAGAATCAAAACAATTGGAAATTGAGAAATACTTGTTGTGGTCCAGTCGATATAGCATAGATTCCAAATCTTCTTGAGTGATAGTCTCGATCTCTGGTGCTAAATTGAATGGATTTCTAGGGTTGGAAAAGAAACCAGGAAATCTAGAGTACTTCCTCTTTTTATCAACATTTATTTGTGGGTACTGGGTACACATAAAGCTCCCCCCAAAAAAATATGTACGCTGGAAAGTCCTGGTCCCCTGTCCCCAGGAAAATGAATATTCAGAGAATAAATTTTCTACAATAAAATAACACAATTATAATCCGTACATGCCCACTGTTTTTTCCCCCAAAAAAAAAAAACTTATTTTCACGTAAAACGTGGTATCCTGTAAGGAACAACTCGTAGGTGCATGAATCCTGTCTGTACGCATTACAATTTCACAAATGATAAACTTTTCCTACTACGTTAAAGTTGTGTTCAGACGCTGTTTCAAAATTATATTTAAAAAATACAAAAATTTTGGATAATATTTCATTTCGTTAGCCGAAAGCCCTAAAGAAAGAAGGAAATGACAAAATGCAAAGTCACGAAATGGGGCGGAAAAAATTTTAAAAAAGAGAAATAAAGGAAGGAAGGAGAGGCTTATAGTGGAAGCCTTTTTTTGGCGGCCGACTTTGATCGACCGAGCATCAGCCGCTGGATTTGGAGACCACGTGCCACGTGCGTGGTCTAATGAAAACGACGACTCGGGTTTTAGCGGTTCAACTCCTCGGTCTCGATGGGCACAGCCTCGCAGAGCATCCAATCGGTAGACGCGAGTCGCTGACTTGACTTGCCCCCCCGGTTTGCCAATTGTCTTGCGTGCCCACTTATGTCTCAACAAACCGGATAGTTATGCTGTGCATCCGTAGCATACGGATGCCAAAACAACGTCGTTTTATTAAAAAAGTGCGCGTCTCCCCTTTAAAAAAAATTCAAGTTCAATTCTCAGCAACAACATTATATTGTTCATTTATTCTGAAATTTTAGTTCATAGATTATGGAATTATAGTTCATTGATTATGGAATTATAGTTCATCGATTATGCAATTGTAGTTCATCGATTCTGAAATTTTAGTTTATAGATTATGGAATTTTAGTTCATTCATTCTGGAATTTTTAGTTCATAGATTAGATTATGAAATTTTAGTTCATATGTTGTTGCTGGGAATCGAACTTGATTTTTTTTTTTAAGGGGAGACGCGTGTTTTATTAAAACGACGTCGTTTTTGCATCCGTATGCACCATGCATGGTGCATACGGATGCACAGCATAATTTGCCCAACAAACCGAACCTACATGTTCTCCTTGTATAACTCTATACCATTAACTACTAAATTTTGTAGCCCATAGAGACACTCCCCAAAAGTGTATATATTGAATAAATCTTATTTATGTATTTTATTATTGTCACACTAAGAAAATTTGTCTCTATGGGGGTTTAAATGAAAATATAATTTTTCTACAAAAAGTGATACGGTTTAAGCTATTTATCATGGTTCATTAATTGTTATAGTTTTAGTAAAACATTGCGGATTAATTTTATAATTATTATAAATTTATAAGTTTGTAATATTTATAAAACTAACCTCTTATTTTTTTCTTATTTGTAACGACTATCAACCGTTATTTATCGTGCTATCCAAATGGATTAATAAGATTAATCATCAATTTTTACTAGAGTCTATTTTAACATTGAATCTTATCTAAATAAAATAACTAGTATATTTTTATGTGCGATGCGCAAAAAATAGGTGCCCACTACTAATACATTTTATTAAAATTTTAAATTTATTTAAATTTTAGATATTTAAATTATTCTAAATAATAATAATAATTATAATAATAATAATAATAATAATAATAATGATGATAATAATGATGTAAATCATTTTTATAAATTTGATATTTATATTTTATGTAATAATTAACATATAACTCAAATATATAATGTTTATATATTATTATTAATGAAGAAGATAAGAAAATATATGGTGAATGCATGTGCATGGTAATAATAGTGGAAAAGATAACGGAAGTTATAACGGTAGGGGTATGTTTGTCCAAAATATTTTAATGTACAACCTTTATAGCATAATGTACAAAAAAACTTAACGGAAAAAACGGACATAAATTAGGGGTATAACTTTCATTCACACTTATTATGTTTTTAGATTTTAGATACTTGTATCCGTATAAAATGATACATGTATCTATTAACAGTCTATAAAATAATAGTGATGACATATGTTTATATATTTTAGATTCTTCATAAATGCTAAGTTTAAATGTTTAATTATGTATAATGATGATGATGATGATGATGATGATGATGATGATGATGATGATGATGATGATGATGATGATGATGATGATGATGATGATGATGATGATGATGATGATGATGATGATGATGATGATGATGATGATGATGATGATGATGATGATGATGATGATGATGATGATGATGATGATGATGATGATGATGATGATGATGATGATGATGATGATGATGATGATGATGATGATGATGATGATGATGATGATGATGATGATGATGATGATGATGATGATGATGATGATGATGATGATGATGATGATGATGATGGTGGTGGTGGTGGTCAAATAGACCTTCAAACTTTTGCTAAAGAGTCCATTAATTCCTCCAACTTTTTAAAGATACAATTACACCCATTAACAATACATTTTGATGCAATGATGTCAAATACAAGTAATGACTTGCTATTATATTATTTGCATTTGCCAAAAGCTACATCATTTTTTGTTTAAACGCAAATGTTCAATGCATTTTTAAAAATTTTATGATAGATAATAATATTTTTTATAAGCAAAAATTAAAATTTTATCTTCTAATATTTATAAGATTTATATGTTTCTTTATTATATTTATTTTGATCATTTAGTTTTACTAACTTTTGGTTATTCATTGAACATTTTTCAAGCGCACATGATTCGTATTTACAACTAGTAGTTTTATTAAGCAGCGAACTTATGGTTGAATCTCATCAACAACATTTTAAATTATTGTTAAATCCAACAAACTATATGACATGCTAGAAAGATGATATGACATATAATATGATATTTCAAAAATAACGATCATAGTATGTATGGTATGATAATAACAATTCAATCATTAAACAATAACATTATATGCAGCACGAAAATCGACAGAGAAATAATAATTTGACATGGCAATGTCAACTCAATCATTAAACGACAACATTTTAAATTATTGATATATATATATATATATATATATATATATATATATATTTATATATATTTATATCATAATTAGAAGTATTACACTAACAAATCAACATAGTACATCAAATCACTAATAAATAATTAAATAGTAAATACCAATTACCAGTTTATCACAAATCTAATTTAAAACTCTAATATATTTTCAAATTTAAACAGTTAAACATTCAAATTGTTTAGATTTTTCATTAACATTTTCATTAAAAAAAAAAATACAAATTTTAGATTAGACTCATCTAAAGATAAATTGACAATCTAAGTATTGTCAAATGTCTTTTTATGTCCACAAATATCTACATTATATTTTTTTCCTGATCCATAATGTTTTTTTCATTTTTATTTATATTTGGCACAAGTGTCAAATAGATCAATCTACTACTGCGAAGTGCTCAATTCGCACCATGAACTAAATTAAGTGTCAAATCGGTCCATTTACCAGCTAAATTTGTTCAATTGACATTTTTTACAGGTTGCTAGCAGGTTGCCTATCTAATTATTAAAAATAAATAAATAAATAAAATTAAAAATTAAAAATATTAAAAAAAACAAAAATAATATCAGCCCCCGGCTGTCCTCGCCAGACAGCCGGTGGCTGATTTTTTTTTTAAAAAAATTAATTTTTTATTCTATTTATTTATTTATTTATTTTTAATAATTAGATAGGCAACCTGCTAGCAACCAGTAAAAAATGTCAATCGAACAAATTTAGCTGGTAGATGGACCTATTTGATACTTAATTTAGTTCGTGTTGAAAATTGAGTACTTCGCAGTAGTAGATGAGTCTATTTAACACTTGTGCCTTTATATTTTGGGCCAAATTTTAGAAAAATGTTTTTTTTTTTTTTAATATTAAGGGTTTTTTTTTTTTTTTTTTTTTTTTTTTTCATTTAAGTCAAAACACACACAAACAGGTTTATCAATTTTTATTTAAATAAGAAAATACCCTTTAAAAAAAAAAACCCAAATTTTGTTCCAATTAAAACTGTTGATTAATTGAGAAATAACACTGAAACATTTTTGAAATGAGAAAATGTTACCCTCATAACAAACTATATGAGGTGTAGTGTAAACAATTAAGCATTCTAATTGCTTATATTTTTGGTTTCAAAAAAAAAAAAATTGCTTATATATTTTTTTATTAACATCTAGATCTTCATAAAAAAAAAAAATTAAAAAAATACATACTTTAGATCAGACCCATCTAAGGATAAAGCTAAATTGACAAATTAAGTGATGTCAATGTCTTTTTATGTTCACAAATTTAATTATATTTACAAATATCTACATTATATTGTTTTCGTCCTAAGAAATGCATCTTTTTAATTTTTATTTTAAATTTGTGCCGAAATTATACAAATGGTTGAACAATATTTTATAAAAAAAAAAAACCGTCAATTTTTAGTTTTTTTTTTTAGTTTTTTTTTTTTTTTTGGGTCAAACACAAAAACATATTGGCAATTGCTCTCCTCTTGAAGCCGAAGCCTGGGCTTACTCAAGGGCATTCAACTAGCCGTAAAATGGGTTTTAAGAAAGTAATTTTTGAAAATGACTCTAGTATAATTTTCAAGTTTGTCAATGGTGACTTATACCCTTCTATCACAGCATATAACATCCTGGAGGCATGTAAGAAAGAGTTGCGCAGATTTGAGTTCTGGCAGGTGGTTGAGATAGCTCGTAAGCAAAATATAGTGGTCGCAGATGCAATTGCCAAACAAGCCAAGCATTTCCCCAAAGGTTTGCATGTATTAGAAAATTTCCCTGATTTTGTACTAGGCCTAATTGAGGATGACTTAGATGGCTTCCCAGCTTGACGCTATGTGTATAATATAAATCATTAAGTTTGTTAAATAACGTGGGTATCCCCTTCTTTTCGATAAAATAAAAAATCAATTAGCATATTAACACATGAAATGAAATAAAAAGTACACCCAGTACAAATCATTTGACAAAATCACCATTATCGATTTGAGTTTAACAAATATCTACAATTTTAAATGATTTTCAATTGGATGAAACTAGGATTCTCATACTATGTGCAACTAAGAATGAGTCCTGATGTGTCAAGCAGGTGACCTGGGTGGGTTGAGGTTCAATCTTTTGGAAGAAGAATGAGTCCTGATGAGATGAAGAATAAAAGCAATACATAAAAGATAAGCGGAAAAGAATAATAATTATATATTACTACGCAATGTAATTCTATTACGATAAGTTTTCTAAAATATAGACCGTTGTGACATAGATTTTTAATCAGATACATTTCACTCTTTCCAGTTTAATATTCTTCCTTACCAAGCTAACCACACCTCTCATCCATATCCCTTTATCCTAGACGAAAATATAGGGGTGTTTAGTAAATAGCTTTTAAATGATTAAGTTAGTGAGTTTGGCTAGTTGATTGCATTAGTTGATTGTAGACAGAACAATATTTGGTAAATTGATCGTTAGCGGATAGCTGATTACATGCAAAATGACTTTCTCAAAATGTTGATAAAAAAAAAATACTTTGAGCAGTTTTTTGAATTTTAGCATTTTGGAATAATAAACTGTTACAAAAAATTAATTAATCAACACTTATATTGACTGTTTTTTAAGTCAAACAACTAATAATGATCAAATAAATCAAAATTAACTGGTAAGCTAATTATGTTACTAAACACGACCATAATCTCCTTTATTGCCACTACTCCACTAGTCCATGCTTTACGACCTAGGTCAACATTTGTTTGATAGGTTATATTGAAATTTTTTTTTTACTGAATATTCTTAATATATCATTTTCAACCAGGATTACATGCAAGTGGGCAAGTGGCAACCCCCCTTCCCCCCCCCCCCCCCCCCAAAAAAAAAAAAAAAAGAAGAAATTTTTGCCAGTTGTTTTAGCTGGATTGGATTGGGGCAAGATTGTCGAAAGTGAAGAACTTTGCTATGACATATATGTTTTGTACGTGTGAGATGATGGTGGTCCATTTCTTAGCTTCTTCCCATCATTTTTTTGTCCTTCTCAACAAAACATTGCCAACCTACTACTACTAATAATTCAATTTGGTTCAATGCTTCCCTTTTTTGGATTTTTTTGGGATTGTCATCACAAGCTACTCTTGTGGTTAGGGTTTAAAGAAGTGAAGGCATGCTTGCTTTTCAATTTATCTTTGATGAAATATCTAGATTCTTTTTGAATACTACCATCAAATTTAATTTAATTTCGAACCATTTAAATATTGAGTAAAATTAAGTAAAACTTAAATTGTATAAAAATTATAATTAAATGTATTTCAAAAAATATCATGAAACGTAAAAATTAGATTCTTATTTATTTTTAACTACTTATTCAATTACTTGTTAGATCGATTTGATTGTATGAAGTTAGGCCTCAATGCATAACAATTTGTTATTAATATTTAGACAATTGAGTTTATATAAATATTATAATCTCTGAAAATAAATAAAAATAAAAATTAAATTTTACTAAAATATCATTAGCCTAAAACTTTGTGCCAATATAATTGAAAAGAAATACATTGGACATTATTGGTGAACACACATGATATATAAGCCCAATTACAAGGAAACCACCTACAAGTGAGGCCAATTGTACTAGGGCATATGGTCCATTGATGGGCAATTCATATCATGGACCATGGTCCACGTCCACATAACAATATGCATCTTGAATTGAAACGATGATGTACAAAATGTATACTCGTAAGATACATGATTTCATAATATAAGACAACACAAGACACATACACATGTTATATATTTATTTATTTTTCAAATATGATTATAATTTGTTTCAATAGACACAAAATTTCACAACACTAGACACAAAAATTTATAACATAAAAGCAATTATTAATTTGTTTCAAGTACATAATTCATACTCTTAAGGTACAAAATTTCATAGCACAAGACACAAAAACTCACAATATAAGACACATACATATTCACAGTATAAGAATTTCCATTGATGTAGAAGTATATTGAATATTCATTTTTGAATAGTATACTTAAAAATGAATATTCACTACACTAAAAATTAATCGTAATAAAATGAATATTCAGTAACATTCAATATATTAAAAATAAACCTTATGTTAGTGATCTACCTTGTCTGGTTGCCAAGGATGTGGTCTCTTCACCAACCAAACAGAACAACTTGCACAATGTTAATATGGTATAGTGCCAAATTGCCAAGGATTAGTGAATAGTAAACCCATAATCTCTGCAAAAGGATCACTATTGAATGCTGCTGCTAAAAGAAGAAAGAAAGAAAGAAACATGATGTTTGACTCGAGTTTTTAAAATTAAGTTACATTGTTTAAGACATTATATGGTGCAAAAGTCACAATGTTTGCTTATTCTTTAGCTAACAAATCACATGGCAATATAGCTTGAAAGTGGCAAGCATGAGTATATGCACAGTTAAGATCCTTCAAACTAAGGATTTCTGTGTATAGGATTAATGTTATGGTTTTACAGTCTCTGCAGAATGAGGGGAGCGCCGTGCTGAGGGTGAATGGTTATTATTGCGAATGGAGCATGAGTATAGGATGGAGACAGTTTAAAGGAGAAGCGCTGCAAGATCATAGCCAGAGCCATTTTTGCTTCTAACATAGCGAAGTTTTGTCCAATGCATACTCGAGGCCCCCATGCAAAAGGGAAGAAGCATACTTTCCCCTCTGTTGCCTTTGAAACGCCTTCGCTGAATCTCTCTGGGTTGAACTCTTTTGCGTTTTCGCCCCAAATCTCCTTGTCATGGTGTAATAGAATTGTTGGTAGAAACAGCAACACTCCAGCTGGTAGACGTAGCTCTCCCAATTTAGTGTCCTTATGGACCCTTCTACCTGTTGTTGCTAACGGTGGATATAGCCTCAAAGATTCGAGCAAAATCGATGTCACCTGTACATATTAGAACATGTCAAGAAATGTGACAATATAATGTCACAGAAGTTACAATTTTTATGGTCCAAGTTTACAAAGAACTTACAATTTTTAGCTTATTCAATCCATCGAGGTCGGGTTTATTCTTCCCAAAGAGCTGCAAAACCTCCTCTCTCGCTCTCACCTGCCAATCTTGATTCATGCTCAGCAAAATCATAGTCCAGACAAGTACTACAGAGGTTGTCTCTTGCCCGGCAAAATAGAAAAGCTTGCACTCATCAATCACTTCTGATATTGTCATCCCGAAATCCTTATTTCCATGTTCTTCAATTTCTCTAGAATTGGACTCCAACAATATCCCCAATAGATCCTCCTTACTGGCCTCCCCGGCCTCCATTGCCTTCAATCTTTTATCGATTATGCTCCTTATCGACGTTTGAACTATGTTCTCTATTTCATACATTCTTTTGTTCCTTTTAGTTGGCAAAAACCTAGGAATTGAAAATCATATTTACTTTAGTTAATAAAAGTAAAACCAAACATACATTTAGGCAAAGACTGCTAAACTGGGGAATAAGGACTTGATCTTACCTTGACCCCGGGATATAAATTGTGCGCGACACTTCCATTACATGCTCAGCTTGTTCTTTTTGAAGTTCAAATATCTTTTGCCCTTCTTCATAGCTACTACCAAACGCTGTACGAGAAATCACTTCACTAGTCATTTTCTCGAGGAAAGGCCACACATCAACCTCTCCTGATCCTCCCTCTAGGATAACATTGTCCCATTTAGCCAGCATCTCAGTGCAGCTCATGTAGAATGCTGGTAGCATATGCTACATGAAAAAGAGCAGAATTATATTCCTAGCTTCATCAGAATACATATATATATATATATATATATATATATATATATATATATATATATATATATATATATGTTCAAAGAAAAATCTCAAAATCACACAAGGGCATTAGCTAGGAACACCTTTAATTTCTCAGTATGGAAGGCAGGATTGATGAGTTTTCTATGTTTGGCCCATTTGTCTTCCTCAAGGGTTACTAGTCCTTCAGCCAACAACTTGGCCTGTGGATTGGGGTGAAGGATCTTCTGAAAAACATCATATTTTGCATAGATTTCCTTTACAAGTTCATTATCTGTGACTATTACCATAGGATTTGGCCCAAGCCACACAAAGCAATTCTCACCTGCAAGTTAATTGCCATTTCTACCATATTACTTTTAACAGGCTCCAAGCTACACATGGACAATCTCTAACTCTGATGCCAAATTGAAACATGTGATCCATCTCGAACTAAAAATTTAAGCTGATAGTTGGTCCTTCCTATATATGTACTGAACCAAAGAGTAGATCAGAGGGTTTGTGTAACATACCATATTTGATGATGGAGTCAAGAATGAAAGGCATGATTCTTGGGATTGTATCATCTGAGAGATTGATGGGTCTGGATTTGGCTTCAGTGATGCTGCTGATTAGGTCTGGAAGGTTTCCATAAGGGGGCCTGTAAGGGCACCCCTTAAGACCTTGTCCTCTAAGGCACTTCTCCAAACTCCTTGGCTTAAACCAAGCCCAGTTCAACAGTCTCCATGCATAATATGAACACACTAAGACTACTGCAAACCATACTCCAACTGTTGTACTGGACATAGTCTCAGGTTCTGTCTTCTTGAAATCCTAGAATTAATGGAGTCCTGTTTAGCTTTGTGCCTTCTTTAATGTCTGTCTGTGTGTGTACAGCTATATATAAATATTCCCTTTTTGTCCTCCACAGCTTGTGCCACATAGTATTTTCCCCCAGATGTGTTTGTACTCAACTACTCATTCATTGACTTTTTATTTTTTTAAAGAATAAATAAATAAATCCCAAAATAAAATACAAAATGTACTTATCGCATATGATGTATGTACGAGACTATCGATGCCCAATAGCTTCGCCAATTAACTGTAGCTCTTGTTAGGAGAAAGCTACGTGCGGAAATAAAGGCGTCAACTCTCCTATTTTATTAGCCATTTAATAGTTAAATTAACTTATTTTTTTCCCTAATAATTTCATTAATATTTTTGTGATTTTAAACTTAATTAATAAAAAGATTATTATAAATTCTAAATATCTAAATTTTATCTACAAATACTAAATTAAATAATACTCCGTAATAATATATTAAATTGCAGAAAAAAATTGAATCAACCCTCATTAATTAGACAAATGGAATGGAGGAGTGAGTATTTGGCTAATGCTACATGAACAAAAGAAAGTTTACCAGGTATTTTTTTATTTGAGAGACTACTAATTCTGTTACAATGTAATATTTGTTCATAACTACACTACAAAGAGTCAATTCCGTCTCTACTAGGCGATCGAACTCATGACAGACCTTCCCTATCTGAGAGAACCACTTCGTGCCACTAAATAACAAGATCATGGACAAATACTTAATTAATTATCTAATAAAATCAATCATTTATTTATCCCCGTGTCGGCAACACTTGTTTATTATTTCCATAAAGATCCAGTGTGTTTGTGTTGAGGGGTAGAATGGGAAGAAACACGCTATAAGTTGTGGAAAAGCAGGGGAGCACCATACTGGGGATGAATAGTGAAGACAGTGATGGGAGAGTGCGTAAATGATGGAGAGAGGTCGAAGGTGAAGCGTTGCAGTATCATAGCTAGCGCCATTTTACATTCAAGCATTGCAAAGTTTAGGCCGATGCATATTCGAGGTCCGCCGCCAAATGGGAGGAAAGTTAGCTGTCCATTACTTACTTTCGCCACTCCTTCACTGAATCTCTCTGGCTTGAACTCCTTTGCATCATTGCCCCATAATTCTTCATTATGGTGCAATAAGATAATTGGTATTGAGATTAGAACGCCCGAGGGTAGTAATACATTTCCGAGTTTAGTTTCTTCATTTGTCCTCCTGGTTAACACTGGTACTGGTGGGTACAATCTCATGGCTTCGTTCAAAATCATCGTCACCTACAAAAATATTTATAAATTGAAATATTAGTACCGGTGACACTTGTGTACAGTATAATAAGTTTGTAAATAGTTGCTGAATTACTTACGATTTTCATACGATTTAATCCTTCGAGATTTGGTTTATCTTTTCCAAATAGCTGCAAAACCTCTTCTCTGGCAAGCGTTTGCCATTCTTGATGCCTACTCAACAAGACCATAGTCCAGACAAGCAACACAGCACTGGTCTCTTGCCCAGCAAAATAGAATACCTTGCACTCTTCAACCACCTCTTTGGTGGTCATTCCAAAATCATTGTTTCCATGTTGTTCGATTTCTTTAAAATTGGAGTCCAGTAAAATACCCAATAGATCATCCTTAGTAGCTTCTCCAGCTTCCATTGCCTTCACTCTCTTCTCAATTATATCCCCGATTGATGCTTGAACTTGCCGGTCAATTTCCATCATTCTTCTATTCTTCTTAGTAGGGATAAACCTGCATTAGAAAAAAAAAACAGTTTAATTATAAACCATTTATCACTACGTCAATAGCTAGTAGGAATATGCAACTTTTAATCCCCTAACCACTTGGTGTTGTGCACCCTTCAAGCCTAATCAATTTTATTTCCTTTGCTGCTAGACTGGCCCTTGCCGGGACCTCTCCCCAACAATTTACTATCCGCCTGGTGTTGGATATGACTTTAGGGCCTTTGCCCAATACTTTTTTAGTTTGAAGATGTGAAACACAAATGTTACCTCCATCCCGGGATATAAAGTGAGCGTGATGTCTCGATTACATGCCCTGCTAGTTCGATTTGGAGCTCAAATATCTTCCTTCCTTCTTGGTAGTTACTACCAAACGCGGTGCGCGAAATGGCATCACAGGTCAATTGCTGAAGGTGAGGCCACACATCTATCTCTGAACATTCTTCCTCGGCCACAATCTTCTCCCATTTGCCCAACATCTCAGCACAACTCGTGTAGAAAGCCGGCAGCATATGCTATATATAATATATATAAATTTGACATTCAAAGTTGCAACAACGAAACGGCAACAAAAGAAGCAAACTGAAATTAAGAGATATGTTATAGAAGCTAGCATGGCAGTAAATTAAATGGTGGAAAAAGGGAACCTTTAACTTTTCAACATGGAAGGCAGGATTAATGATTTTTCTATGTTTATTCCATTTATCTTCTTCAATGACATCTAGTCCTTCAGCCAACAATTTGGTCAGTCCATTCAAACCCGGCTTCTGATAGACAGTATGCTTAGTAAAGACCTCCTTTATAAGCTCAGGGTCCGTGATGAACACCATTGGTTTTGGCCCAAGCCATATAAAGCAATTCTTACCTGCATTTTTGTTTCTTTTTTGCTTATATCAACAATTATATATTATAGTACTGGATCTGAAGAAATTAAAGATGGTGAAACAAGCTAAGCGTACCATATTGTTGAATGGAATGTATGAAGTAAGGAACAATTCTTGAGGCTATGTCATCTGAAAGATTATTCAATGGCGGCTTGGACTTGGCTTCTCTCAGTGCCTTGTTCAGCTCTCTTAGATCTCCCAGCAAGAAACGATAAGAATTCCCCTTGAAGCCCTGTTGTCTAAGGCATTTCTCTAGTTTTCTGGGTTTCAACCATGCCCAGTTCAAAGCTCTCCAGGAAAGTACAAAGATAACTACTGCAAAGGGAAAAGCTAAGAGGACATGAGCATTCTCCATCTCAGTGGACAAAAATGGATACTATTCTAGCTGCTTCCAACTTTATGCATGTGCAATATAAGTCGAAGGGCTCAAATAATATCTCTACAAGATTGTGTGGCACAAGGCCGTCCCTTGGAAACTAGTCCACCCAAGCACAAAGAGTCAATACCACCTAGCTAGCTCGAACTTACAATCTCCCATGTGAGAACAAGGTGGTGCCATTAAACCACAAGGTCATTGGTGCTACACTTGCAACTTATTTGTACAAATAGAGAAAAGTTAAAAGGAAAAAAAAATTAAGAATCATTTTAGTTCATGATCTACCTGTACTCTGATATATGATATTATTATTGGTCAACTCGTATTTCCGCGTGGACTTATTAATATATTAAGAATATTTGGATCCATACACTACTGGAAATTATGAAATTTCTGACTACCTGAAAGTGATCTTAAATCAAGTTGAAATCAAAAAGTGATCGGAAATAGCAACAAAGATTTTTTCGGATACCAAAAGTGGTCGGAACAAGGCTTTCGACTTGATTTAAGATCACTTTCAGGTAGTCAGAAATTCCATAATTTCCAGTAGTGATATACAATTATTTAAATTACAACTTGAAATACTCTGTTTTATATAATGCAATTGAAAATGTGGTTTGGATCATTTGTGTGTTTTGATGTTATCGGTGCTTGAATTTGAGCAAATAATTGCTCAAATTAATAGCTAATGTGTAGATGTATGCATGCGGTGTTGTAACTTTGGAGATTTTATTTATCATTGTTTAATATTTTTTTTTTATAAATTAGGCAAATGTACTCGTTCTCTAGCAACTTAGTTATAGGAAAGAATTGCTATCTTAATTCATTTAGTTCATGATCTACATGTACTCTGATATATGATATTATTATTGGTCTATTTATTTATATGAATTTGAGGCCTCTATGGTTCGTGAAATATATTTGGAAAATAAATTCTTTCTATTGTTTGGTTGCGTTTAAAATTATAAAGAGTATAATGAATATAAATAAATATGTCAAAATGGGCCCAATTAACCTGTTGGGTTGGGCCCATTTAACATGCATTTTAGATGGGCAGGGTTGGAGAATTTCCAACCCGGCCCATATAACCAGTGTGGGATACGGGTTGGCTACGGGCCAACCCGTATAACCCATATCCCCACCGGCACCCTCCAACCTCTCAAATTTGTTGTGTAATTGCCTTAACTAAGTATTATACTAATAATATTTAAAAGTGTTGGTGCTAACAAAAATTGAACCTATTGGTCTATTTATTTATATGAATTTGAGGTCTCTATGGTTCGTGAAAAATATTTGAAAAATAAATTATTTGAAAAATAAATTCTTTCTATTGTTTGGTTGTGTTTAAAATTATAAAGAGTGTAACGAATATAAATAGATATGTCAAAACGGGCCCAACCTGTTGGGTTGGCCCGTTTAACACTCATTTTAGATGGGCAAGGTTGGAGAATTTCCAACCCGGCCCATATAACCAGTGTGGGATACGGGTTGGCTACGGGCCAACCCGTATAACCCATATCCCCACCGGCACCCTCCAACCTCTCAAATTTGTTGTGTAATTGCCTTAACTAAGTATTATACTAATAATATTTAAAAGTGTTGGTGCTAACAAAAATTGAACCTATTGGTCTATTTATTTATATGAATTTGAGGTCTCTATGGTTCGTGAAAAATATTTGAAAAATAAATTATTTGAAAAATAAATTTTTTCTATTGTTTGGTTGTGTTTAAAATTATAAAGAGTGTAACGAATATAAATATATATGTCAAAACGGGCCCAACCTGTTGGATTGGCCCGTTTAACACTCATTTTAGATGGGCAAGGTTGGAGAATTTCCAACCCGGCCCATATAACCAGTGTGGGATACGGGTTGGCTACGGGCCAACCCGTATAACCCATATCCCCACCCGCACCCTCCAACCTCTCAAATTTGTTGTGTAATTGCCTTAACTAAGTATTATACTAATAATATTTAAAAGTGTTGATGCTAACAAAAATTGAACCCTTGACTTTTCACTTAAACCTTAAGGTATCATCACTACAAAGACCAATTATTATACTAATAACACATATTGAATGTTTTTATATATATTTTTTTTGATTGAATTGAATGTTTTTATATAATTATATATTTATTTACATAATTCACAAACGTTATATATACAATTATTTATATTACATTTATTACAAGTATTAATTAATACAATTAATTGTATCTTTATATAAATATTAATATAAAGTTTATTTATTATATAAATTATATAAAATAAATTATATTATATATTTTATAAACTTTATAACTTAATAATATTATAATTAAAAAATAAAAAATATTACATGAAACTATATTAGTATCAAATATAAATTAAATAAATTATAATCATATGTTAAAAATTAAAATCTAATTATATATGTGTGTGTGTGTGTGTGTGTGTGTGTGTGTGTGTGACTATTCATGGTATTTGTTCAAAAGGTTTAATGTGGTTGGAAAAAAAATAGGTTGACGGACTTGTCCGTTAGCCCGTCCTATACGAGTTGAGTTAGGAAAATTCCAACCCGTGCAAAAACGGCCCAGCCTGGCCCCTTTCTTGTTGAACCCGAAACGGGCCAGCCTGTATGGACCGAGCTGGCCCGTTTTGGCAGCTCTAATATAAAGACGAATATGTTCTTACACAATATTATAATAATAATAATAATAATAATAATAATAATAATAATAGTGATTTTAAATTTAAAATATTATAATTTATAAATTGCAATATCATAACTTAAAATATTATAATTATATATTTATAATAATAATATAATAAAAATTATTATACATATTTGGCCTAGGGGTAATTAAGAAAGTTCAATGAGACAAAATTGACTTGTCAAGGGGTAAACTTAGTCAAGTTGGTTATAAGGATACAAATTTGTAATCACAATGTCACTCATTCGAAACCAACCTTAACTTATTGGTTTGAGCTAGTCAGTTATAAGCAACTTAAGTTGATTTACCTCCTTGTATCTTTTGTCGGCTAGGGATTCGCCAAGTTTAAAATTAACCTACCAAGTGATAATAAATTATTTTAATTTCAATACCCATGAAAAATACAAAATACCTTCCGGTGAACATTTTTTATTTGCCTCAAATTTTAAGAAATTTTTTTATCCAACCAAACACTCTATTGATGGTGATGGACGTACTTGTTTATGATTTCTATAAAGCATTAAAGCCCGTGTGTGTGTGTTTTTTTTTTTGTTGGGGTGGGGGGTGTAAATATATGTAAAGATTAAATATGCCAAAAAAAAAAAAAAAAAAAAAAAAAAAAAACAAACAAACAAACAAATACACTAGACATAACCCATCCATAGTGGAAAATCCGAAATACAAACCACGGAAACATGATGAACAAATTAAATACAACATGGGTAGTGCAATTGTGCAAATTGATTGCACCCAACAGTGAACAGAAACTAAAACTGGGATAAGGGCAATTTCAATCTGTCTTGCATTGATCAAGTTTTTTTGAATAATAGTGAATGGTTGGTCAAGTTAAAAAAATAAAACCCGTAATGGATCCGGTTGAATTCAAGTTTTATGTACAAAATTCACCTAGATGAACACGTTGGGATGGGAGTACTTTGCTTACTAATGCAATGTGAGCCCAAAAGTCCTTGACATAATCATCAACATATTTCCCTGATTGAAAAAGTTACTTTAATTTTTCTAACTGCTTAATGTTTTGGGGTGGGTCAAAACTTAAACAACATACCTCCTTAAATGTTGCCCGGGAAGCAAAAGGGGACACTGTTGTTTCTCGCAAATTATGCTGTGCAATCGTGTGCACCATGTATGGTGCACATGGTTGTAAAAATGACGTCATTTTGACTAAAAATGCGTGTCCCACTTAAAAAAAAAATCAGGTTCGATTCCCGGCAATAACATTTTTTTTTGCATAATTTGAATTATATATACACAAATTCATAACTATACATCCACAAATTCATAACTATATATCCACAGTGAATGAATAACACAAAATCCAGATTGAATGAACTAAATATCCACAATGAATGAACTGAATATCCATAAATTCATAACTATATATCCACAAAATCATAACTATATATCCATAATAATGTTGTTGAGGGGAATCAAAACTGATTTTTTTTTTTTTAAATGGGACGCGCGTTTTTAGTCAAAATGATGTCGTTTTGCAACCGTGTGCACCATGCACACGGTTGCACAACATAACTATTGGTTGTTTCTAAGTGGTACCAAAGTTGGGCTTCATGTGGTGTGCAGTGAGAGGAACTCGATCAGGGACAAGGGTGTCTGCGTGCCAAAACAACGAAGCAGCCAGGCCATAGGGTCTTCCTAAAACAAAGGATGTCGGAGATCAGCCAAGGAGATGATCGGAAAAAGCAGAGAGGGATTGAGATGAGAGAGTGATGAGAACTGTTTCCATTAATTCTTTTAGCCGAATACAAGAAGAGCAAATATACAAGGAAAAGGGCGGCAAAAGCCGTTGGAACTGCCAAGGTGATCCAAAGACCAGAAGGCCCTCAACTAACTCTCATTATCCCCTTCTACATCATGCTCTAATACCCCCCCGTAAGCTGGAGTGTGCACATTTTGAACGCCCAGCTTAGATACATAGGTCTGGAACATCTGAGAGCCAAGAGGCTTAGTGAAACCATCGGCCACTTGATTGGCGGAGGATACGGGCAGAAGCTTAATGAGGCCTTGGTTAAGTTTTTCCCGAACGATATGGCAGTCGATGTCAATATGTTTGGTGCGTTCGTGGAAGACGTGATTCTCCGCTATGGCTATAGCGGATTTGCTGTCGCAGAATAAGGTGGCTGGTTTGTTCAACTGTATTTGCAAGTCTTGTAAGAGATAGACAAGCCATTGTACCTCACAGACAGTGGCTGCCAAGGCTCTGTATTCGGCTTCGGAGGAACTCCTAGACACTGTCATCTGCTTCTTGGATTTCCATGACACAAGGGCGTCACCTAGAAATACACAATATCCGGTGATGGATCGTCGAGTGTCACCGCATGCTGCCCAGTCGGAGTCTGAGAAGACTCTGAGCTGAAGTTGAGAGTCTGATGTATATATTAAGCCTTGG